GTCTTTTTACTCCTTTGACATCAGATGCAGCTTCCGGGAGATAGTGACCTGAAAGTTTACCAAAGGTATGTCCGCAGGAATTTCCTGATCTGGGATTTGCGCAGGCCCATGTTGTATGCTATTGCTCGTGATTTTCTTAAAAACGATTTATAATGATAACGAAACAGTCCATTGTCGGCTAATGTATTAAGGAATATTGATTTTCTAGTGCTCCAAATAATTTTGGTGTTAAGTATATTAATTAACTTACTTCTGCGAGTCTCTGTTAGTGTCATCTTGTAAACTAGTATTGTTAGTGTCAAAGTGTCAACTTGTAAGTTAGTTATTGTTAGTGTAAACTTGTAAGATCTTTATTGTTAGTATCAACTAAGCCAGATATTGTTTGTTTCCACTTGCAAGCAACCTTCAGGGTATTGCGTCGATATAATTTTCGGTCTGTATCTACCTGATTGCAATAAAAAGATAAATAAATAAACCAAACGTCTGCGAAAGGGGAGAGGGGGAATGGAGCAGAGTGCTGGGGTTGCCGGAAGTAGACTAAACTGGGCGCGGAAGAACTACACGAAAGGATTAGGTCAGCATTACTATCCCGCAATTGAATTTTCCTTACCTGCTGTTACCCTCTGGGAAGTAGCGGTCCTGTTTACGCAAAGGTGAATAAATGTGATTCCAAAAAGCAGGAATAAAATGCTGCGATTCATTCCTATGGAAAGATTTTTGTTATTGAGTTGTCATGAAAGTATGTTAAGAAAATCACCAGCTTTGTTAATAAAATGAATGAAGCTACTCAGTTCAATGTATGATTTTCCGTTTACAAGTTGCAAACCATAGTCTAGATTTCTTAGTTGGCATTGTGTTTTTGAACGTAGAATTGTCTCAAGTACGATTTAATCATATAAATCGCCTGCTGGCTAATGCTTCAGGATAAAAGAAACAGCTCTTGAAAAGGATTTACTTTCCAGAAGTTTTTCAAACTTAGCTCAACTGAAAACCACGTATGGGAAATTGCTATCTTTCAGTAATGTTATTTCTAATTGCCCGACTTTGCAAAAAATGTAATAAAATTGGAACACATCATCATCGTACTCATATTACATCTAAACTTGGATGTTAAGCCATTTAAATTTCCTTTGTGTGCAGTTTTTTAAAGACAAAAAAGAAAAAATACAGCTTCACCTGGATGTATTAATCTAGGAGACCATCAAGCGAGCACAAGTAATTAATCAGTTCAATGGCTGTCAAATGTATTGTTTTTATTGATGTAAATGTGACCTTCTTCAGGAAAAAAGATTTTCGTTAACCAATCTGTTGTTTTTTATTCGTTATTTTTTTTAGCAGATTTTAATGAATTTTCACCTCATCCATGGGATACTGGTTTGTCAGCGTAAACAGCAAGACTAAACAAAAACTTTGCATCAAGTTTCTATTCAGATTCCCGGGGTTAAACATAAATTCTAAGAAAAGGCTATTTTCGTCCTTTTTTGCCAAGAACAATACCTCCTTAATTAATGAAGAATATAACGCTCAAGAAGAAGAATTTATGCATAGTTTTTACTCTATCAAATTGAAGTTCTTGGATATCACTGAACTGCGGTGATTTTCACAAATAATTCAGTCACAGTACCTAAATAAGTACTCTGAACAGTAATGTTTTGTTTTTAGTTATGGGTACATTGTGTAGTACGTACGCGCTATGAAAGATAAAATTGACTTAGAAACTGCCAAGATAAGAAAATGGATTTAGCTCCTTACTATTTGTCTTCACTCCTTCTCAAATACCAGCCGGCTCGTTTTCTCCGCTCATCTAATAAATTGCTTTTACAAGTTCCTTATGTTAATACCGTGGCTTATGGACACCGCTCATTTTCAAATTGTGCACCGAAAATCTGGAACGGTCTACCAGAACATATCAAAAACCTTGAATCCGTTTCTAATTTTAAGAGACGTTTCAAAACTTTCCTTTTTAGTAATAATTAATATATATAGTTTCATTTAAACTATATTTACTATTGTTAGCGCATTAAGAATTCTTTAAATGCGCCATAAAAACCTACTATTATCATAAGGAGAACGAAAGTGGACATAGGTCGTCCAAAAACAGTATATCAGAGATAAAAACGGCCTTCCCTTTTGACATTTAGTACCCTTAATAAAACTTAAGTGCTGTGCCTCAATGTATGGTAACCTACAGAGTGACGAGATTAGAAAAAAGTAAAATTCTTACCTCCGTTATCTATGATATCAAATATTGGTCCCACGAAATTAGTTTGAAAGACCCATTAGGACAACCTTTGGTTTGTCTTAATGACAACTACCGGTCAAAGAAAGACTTTCCACATTCCTCAACTGATTCTTAGGTAAGAATAAGTGTAAAGATACCAGACATAAGTAAACTTTGGGCTGGTCATTCATATTTTTGGCACCTTTTAAACAACAGGTAACTGAATCAAAACTCTGTCTCCTTCCCAGGCTTTAAACTGCTCCGATACTAGCTATGTTTTGTCTTCCAATTCATTAAAGACGAATTTAAATGTTTTTTCGACAATAATACGTAGACGGACAAAAGGCATCCTGCGATCAGGGGGTATCTCTTCCCTTTTTGTTTTGGACGCGACTTTCGTGCTATCCCCGAAAAAAGAATGCACAAGTTTAGACAAAAGGAAACTTGCTCGTTTTAGAAGGAAGCTTCCATAGATACGTACTAAAAACAACAGCTTTGACCTGTATCAAAAATTAAGAAAAATTACATTATCTCCATTTTCATGACTTGTTTACCTGGTAACTGATAAAGACTGTAATATCGAAATGTTTTAAGTAGATTCTTTTTCTTTTATATTTCACTTCATTTATATTTTTGTTATTCTACTTATTTCAATTCATTTTCTTTTATGACACCAAACTTTTCCCTGTCACGGTCTTTTTTTGCCATTTTTTTATTATTATCGCATTCACTAAAACCGAAGTTTGAGTCACCCATTTAAGAACTCAAGTGGGGAAAAACATTGCGACCATTTAAAAAATTGAACGAGATAGAATAAGCGCGATAAAGTTTGAAGTAGCGCTATGTCACTTTTTAAGCGACGTTTTCGTAGCCGTCGCCGTCGTTGTTGCTTAAGCTTCCTCATAAATTCCAACGCACGTGACACTAACACCAGTTTCGCTGGTAACCTGGTTATGATCAATACGAAACCTGTAAAGAAACGGTGGTAAACATTCTTTTCTTGGAAAATTAACATAGCACTGAAAGGTCCGCAAATAAAATTTAGTATTAAGTTTGTTTCAACCATTTACAGTCAAAAGTTAGATTTTTGTTAATTGTGTGCGCAGGGCAGCAACGTCATAATCTCTCAAGTGTTTTGTTTGTTGTGGAAATTAATATTTTTCTGGTAAGTTACCTTACGTATTACTTAAAAGTTTGAATGAGGGGGTTTCGAAGATCAGGTCCTTCGTCTAATTTGTACATTATGTTGACGTACGGGGACGGGGTAGGGAGGGAGAGAATTCGAAGTCCGCCTAAAATGAATTAATCCTTGGGATTGCAAATTAAGGGATAAAGATCCTTTAAAGACTTTAGACTTTGAAAAGATACTAAAAACAATGCTATGGAACTTTTGACCTGCTAAACGGTTGCACCAAACACGAATTATAGCATATGTCAGCTGGTTATTTATAGCAATTGAATTACACTTCAGAGTTGGTTATATGTTTAAATTATTTTTTTCTTTCTTTTACAGAACTACGGGTCACTACATTTCATATGTACCATTTAATCACCTTCAGGACGTGAAAAGCATTCGTAATAAAAGCTACAAATGTATGTTGAAAAGACGCACTTAGACGCTTCATTTTTTTATGGCAATCGGAAGCGAAAGCTTTGAATTTAAAACATTTCAGCCGAAGAAAATGATTTACAATTGCGAAGTGACATTTATTTCTTTATTTCTTGTTTTACATTTGCAGGCAAATGACTTAACCCTCGGATGTACTCGCAAATTCATACCCCCACCGTGGTACAAGGGGCGGGGGGGGGGGTGGATGGAATCCCTCCCAGGAGTTTTCTGGTATGTTGCAGTATTTTGAAATGATTTTACCTTTAGTGGGAAGCCTTTGATCTTCTTAACATGATTAGATATATTTTAGGGGTGGTGGCTGGAGGCCTGTGACGTCACCAACAATGGTCGCCATCTTGGATTTTACCGCGAAATAGAAACCATGTTAAAACCGCGCGAAATGGTTATTTTTTGTGCTTTACATGAAAAAATAACACATAAATAAGCACTTTGCATGATTTTAGCCACAAGATTTCCTTTCATTGTTAAAAGAAGTTGAAAAAACATGTATTTTCACCCCCAAATTGGCTTGACCACCTGCTACTTGTGACGTCATAGCTCGTAACCATAGCAACTGAACATCACTAAACTTTGTCTCAAAATGTGCGAGAGGTATGAATGAACAGCTACTGAAAGCGTCAGGTACTGATATTTTATCCTCTAGGAAAAAACTCAGAAAAACCATACGGCTTATGCGGGGAGGGGGGCGTACGGGGATGTACGTCCGAGGATTAAAATTTGTAAAAATTAATAACAATGTCAATTACGATGTTGATGATGATGCTGCTGATGATGATCATCACGACGACGATGATAATGCTGGTGGTGATGAAAGATCACACCAAAATCCTTAAGGAGGCGGTGAGGCTGCTAGTACCGTAAATCAAGGGTTTAACGTGCAGTTGTTTAAATGCAAGTCACCTTTGGACTGAATTTTTAATACCGAATATCATATCAACCAACCGTATTAATTCTAAACACGTAGGGAAGCTTTCCCACCAATCTATATCTGTCCTATTTGTGCTCTTATTTTTTTCTTCTTCTCCGTTTAAATGATAATTACTTACAAGGTTTTTATTGTATTTTATCTTTGTTTTACTTTTTGCTTTTGTTGGATGAGTCATTCTGTGTGCCCGAGCTGTGTTTGATTTTGTTTAAAGAGACTAAGTATTAAAGAAACTTTTTGCTGTACTCTGGGAAGCCGATTTCCTCAGGGTCTCTTCCTTTGTCACGAACATCCAGGCTAACCATCTCACCCTGTTTGATATATCTAAAGAGGAAGAAGAGAGAACAAATGTAAAAAATAAAAATAAAAAATAGACAAAGAACAGGAAGAAGAAGGACGATTCAAACTCTCACGATAAAGTGGAAAGATTTAATAATCGTCATTTGGAAAACGTGCAGCACAAATAAGTATTCGCCAGTATTCGAATATGACCTGTTAGACATCGGAAGTAGTCTTAAGAGCTAGGGAATAGCTCTGGATTACGAGGCCATATATTTAGAACACGGATGATGTGAACCACGTAATGCTAGGATCAGCAATGTAAGTTTAGTTCTTTGATCCAGAGAAGTCTACCAAATCGATTGTACAACATTTCATCAATCCAAGAAATTATCTAATTTATGAGCGAAAATGACATTGCAAGCGCAAAATTAGAGCCGCCCAGACGAGCTAGGTTAAGAAGAACAAAGAACGCATGTTCCATACCTGTTGCATAAACCACAGGACAGCATGCAAAAATCGCGAACACTAAATGCTTCTTTGAAAATACTTTTGTCATCACACATTCCGGACATGACGAATGAAGAACAGTCAGGGTGATAATCCTGGCACTGACCTGGAATAATAATCATAGTCCTGTAGTTTTGCAAATAAATCTTCCGTAGTTACTGGTACATGAAGCATTCATCTCCATGCAATTGTTACTTGGATAGGTATTTCAGAGGTAACGCTATAGTTATGCACATGTATAGTACGTGTTGGTTGAGATTGATGTCGATCACTGATCTTGTCTCCAGTTTTTTTTTTTTTTTCGCCTAGCTTCGTGAAGAAAAATGCAGAAAGATCCCACTTAGTCCTTTCCATATTAAAAAAGAAATCACCCACACCTTACATGTACATTTTCCTGGAATATTTAAAAGAAAAATAAACTAGATAAAAATCTAAGTAAAAACTGCTACCCTACCAATCAGTATTGGGTCATCCTTGTCCTCTTGCGGACTTACAGCAGAGGGAATAGTTAAAGGAGGAACTGCCGGTACTTGGGCTGTATGCATTTGGTGTTCCACCTGACGAAACCTTTCTTTGTCTAAGACAGACGAGGCCGTGGCTGGCGGAAGTGTCATGTACATAAACGGAGGGGTAATAGGTGCCGACACTGGATTACCAGGCATTGGATGAGCCAACTGAGGAAACCATCCTGGCCAGTTATGCTGTCTCATTGGTACGGGTGGTGCAGCAATGACTTCCTGGGGCGTTGTCGGCTTCTGTTTTGCTTCGCCTTTAGCACTTGTCGGTGGAAGTGTTGTGGGTTTCGTTGTCGGATTTGTCGCGGTTGGCTTTGCGGTTGGAGCTTTAACTTCTATCGGACAACAGTCGCTTCCACAAATTATCTGGCATAAAACCACCTGTGGTTTTTGATATGGTTTTCCTGCAGCTGAAACTTTCGGTTTAAAAGTCGATAAAGCGGCGTTCGCCTTTCCACTTGTTTGAGTTCCGTTCGGTTTGTTCAAATTCACAATGGATGAAATGGTTGATGTGGCTGTCGCAGTTTTACCTCTTTGAGGAACTGGTGTTGATTTAGTAGGTAACATAATCTTATTAGAATTTGGTGCTTTGGTAGAATTTGATCCACTGGAACTGTTGTTATCTTCTGTTGGATTTGCTTGAGATGTAGATGTAGTAGTATGTTGCTGGCTTGCAGTAGAACGTTGAGTTACTTTATTGACAGAACTTGACACTGTAGGTTGACCATTGGGTGGTTTTGTTCGAGTTTGAAACGTTGCCTCTTCCGGACCTTTGTTTCCTTTGTTGTTCTTTGGGCCACTAACAGAAACGGATGGATCTGGATTTTGCTCACTTTTCCCAGAAACCGGTTGATTTGAATTTTGCGTGCTTTCCCTCTCATTCACTTGTGGAACTTTGGTCTGGTTTGTTGGTTGCAGTTGTTGCTGGTGGTTTGGCGTGATAGACGGAAATTGCCCTTGTGGGGACAGCACTGGAGAAAGAGTTTGAATGCGAAGAGTCTGAACAGGAAGAACTGGGATAGGCAACAGCTGTGTTTGAATGACTTGCACAGGCCCTGAAATTGTATATAGAGTGGGCGAACTCAACCAGTAATTCATACATTTTTTGCGGCCATTACAGATGTTTACTAGCCATTGTTTAAAGAATAGATAACAAAATATAAGGGGGACATTAACATCTTGTCGATCGAGGCAAGTCGTCTGTATTTTAGATCGTGGTGCCCAACTCCAATCTGACTCTACATAGAGCCATAGCAAACATTTCATAGCTTAAAACTAATTGCTCATCCATTTTTTTCTTTACAAACCTTTACGAATCAAACAAGGGCAGTTACAATAATTAAACGCAAAAAAAGACTAGGGCCACGCAGCAGAATGAGGCTGAAATTCAAGTGCACCCTCGGGAAACAATAGAATTGTTTACATACATGACTTCATAAGTAAATAAAATCTATTGAATTTTCCATAAAAATCTATATCTAATATTCAATTAAACTCGCAAAAAAACTCTATGTTTCTTACAACCTGGAAGCCAACGAAGGTAATTTGCGCAAAACATGGAATGTTATCAACGAGCTAACTTCACGTAACAGTGGTAAGTCAACGAATATTTTGGAGATCAAGGTAGATAATAAAATAGCAAATAACCCTATGGACATTGCGGAAACTATTAAAGATCACTTTACAAACGTTGCGCAAGTATTAGCACAAGATATTCCTGTTGTCGATTCTAATCCCGAATCTTATTTAGAGCCCACTGATCATTCGTTTTCTCTGTAAATTCCGAGTGTTGATATTGTTTCTAACGTTTTGTCGAAAATTGATGAAAAGAAAGCCACCGGTCTTGATATGATCCCGAGTAAATTGTTGAAGATGGCTGCTAATATCGTCGCACCCTCTCTTACCTCAATATTCTCAAAGTCTATTCTCACTGGGATATATCCAACCGATTGGAAAATGGCTAAAGTGACTCCACTTTTTAAAAAGTGCATTAAATCGGACCCTAACAACTACAGGCCGATATCTGTAATCCCTATAATTTCGAAAGTTTTTGAAAGAATTGTTTATAATCAACTTTTCCGTTATCTAGATGATAATAAATTGCTACTAGGCTGCCAATCAGGGTTCCGTTCTCTACATAGTACGCTCACGGCTTCGCTTGAGGCAACAAATGCTTGGTCAGTGAACATCGACAATGGCCTTCTAAATGGCGTTCTCCTTAGTGACCTTACTAAGGCATTCGACACCATTGATCATGAGATCATCTTGCGTAAGATGTCATACTTGGGTGTCGATCAGGCAGCCATAAAATGGTTGTTGTACAGTCCCCGAAATGATCCCCAGTTAATTCTTGGAATGGATCTTGTATTCCGTCACGGAATTATTACAAATCTGTTGCAGCGTTTACGTTCTTAAATCGCGTTTAAAATTTCCTTACAAATTGAAAACGTTACAGTCAAGAACAGTATTTTTCCTTCTTCCCTTCCCATGAGACCTGCACGCGCCTCAACCTAATCCCCAAGCGTCTCTCATCCCTAAAAACACTTAAATAGCGACTGGGTACGAGTCTGAGTCAAGAAGACTTTAGCAGCGACTGATCAAACAAAGTGAAATAGAGTTTAGTTGTGATATTTCGACTGGCCAATACCAGTTTTCATCAGGTTCATTGAGATATCACGAATTCACAGAAATATATATGAAGTAAAATTACGACCGGAAATTACATAATATGACGTGGTATGGTGGCTACTTTAAAAGACAAGATAACAAAACTATATATAATTACAGTTCATCACGTTTATTGATGCCCAGAGGCTCAACTGACTTAGCTTTATGGATAAGGTGGGCTTCACGTGCTTTCCTGAAAGAATCACGCCCATTTTTAAGTTTTTCAATAGGAATCAGAAGCATATGATTGTCGGAATGATTACTGGTTAGAAAGTGTTCTGAAACTGCAGTATGGAAGTGATTACCAGTAGGGTTGAGTATAGGTCGTCTGTGTTCATTAAAATGGTCTTTGAGACGACGTTTAGTTTCTCCAATATATTGTAGATTACACAGGCGACATTGAATCAAATAGATAACATTAAAAGTTTCACAAGCGATATGAGATTTGATGTGGTGGGTCTAACCTGTAGAATGAAAAGTGTAATCGCGTCTACGACAAAACCTTTCTAAAGATCCAAATACAACGAGCTTCCGACATTCTTCGCACTGACGCACTTACAAACAAACCCAAGACTTAGACTGAAACCTGCTAAAGTCTGCTTGACTATAACGTTTTCAATTTGATCTATTTTGACTGATCACGATCTTTTTGGATCCGACGTTGAGCAAGATTGATCGTACACGGTATTTGCAGTGTTTTTTTTTTTTACCTTAATTAAACATTTCGCTACAGTTACGTGATTTTTTAGCGCTTTTGTCATCTAATCGCCATTATGTATACTTTTGCATCTTCAACATCATTTTAAGATTTTAAAAAGTGTTAAAACACCATTCTTAAAATTCAATATCCAAGGCATGCAGTTTTAACATCATTTAATCACCTAAGTAATAATTTAAAAAAATGTTATGTTTGTTGATATTATCAGTTGCAGTTCACGCAGAATCGGCTCCTGGTTCATTGGGTTCCTAAAAATATACTAGACTTTGTGTATTTTTTTGATAATAATATTTTCCGGCGTTTAATCCAGTTCAAAGTGTAATCCCAAATTCATGTCATGTGGGTAAGTGAAGATTATTAGTGAAGCTTAAGTTATAATGTTGTGCTTTTTGCACGATCCATAGTTCTATGGTATTCGATTCCATTCCTGAAATTAAATGGCGATCATTTCGGGGTCGACGTGACGAGAAATGGGGATCATTTCGGGGTCGGTATCATTTCGGGGGCTGTACAGTTCTCGTCGTACTTAAGTGGCCGAACCCAAAGATGTAATGTCAGTGGCAAACTATCATCTGCTCGTACCCTCAGTTGCGGCGTGCCGCAGGGTAGCATATTGGGTCCTTTGCTATTTTTAATTTACATTAATGATCTTCCCAACTCCCTGCGGGGCGCCGTACCAAGAATGTTTGCCGATGACACCAACCTTTCGTTATCTGCTAAGACGTTAACAGAGCCTAAGCTAACTCCTGAATTGAATAACCTTAGCTGCTGGCTGAAAACTAACAAGCTCAGTCTAAATGTTGCTAAAACAGAGCTAATGATTATTGGATAAAGACAAAGACTATCTGCCCAATGTGACGATGTAGAAATCAGAATTGATGACCCAATTATCAAGAGCGTCGATCATACCAAATCCTTGGGTCTTACCATAGATGCTCAACTCTCTTGGGGTAAACACGTTGAAGAGATTTGCAAGAAATTCTCTTCAGCTATAGGCGCGCTAAAACGTGTGCGGCCCTTTATATCCAAAGAAACTGCAATTCAAATTTATAACGCTTTAATTATGCCTCATTGTGATTACTGCAGCCCCGTTGGGGACCGTTTGAGTAGTTACTTGAGTGATAAGCTCCAAAAATTACAGAATCACGCAGCCAGAGTTATCACTAAATCACCCTTTGATACGAGCTGAAACCACCTTCTCTCCACCCTAAGCTGGGAGAGGCTATCTCTTCGACGAAAGAAACAAAAAGCCTTAATGATGCATAAAACCATGAATGACCTTGCTCCTGAATATCTACAAAGTCTTTTCTCTCAGCGTCACTCTGCTTACAACTTAAGAAACTCTGAGGGAAGGCTGACTCTGTCCAAACCAAGCACTAATTATTTGAAACGAAGCTTCTCTTACAGCGGGGCCATGTTATGGAATAACTTGCCCAAAAACTTTAAAAATGCTGCATCCGTTGAGCATCTTAAGCGAAATATCAAGAAGGTAGCTGATATATCGGATTCCCACACGGCAATCCTGTAAAGCAGTTGTAATTAGTTTTAGTTTTTAACTTAAGCTTAACTGATGATTTCCCGTGTTTAAATAAAGATTTATTTACTTCTTACTTACTTCAATCAGTAACAGAGCTTAAAGTATCATGAATATTAAACGATTGTTTCAACTCCAGGAACAGCATATAGCGATAATGTTTTTAAAATACAACCCACAGCGAATTGGGAAGCACTACTTGGAGGAGACTGATTTCAATGTGTTGAACGTGTCGACGTTGTACGAGTTAGCCAAGGCTGGGGGAACAGAGGGAGAACATGCTGGCATAACTCAACTCAATTAATTAGCTTACTTAAAGGGCTGTCAGGAAGATTTCTCCACAAAATATTATGAAAATTTACCTGCTAAAACAAAAAAAATAAAAGCTTATGCTTTCCTTTTCCTCATCTTAAAGAAATTACTGGATAAATCAATTGAAGTTTGATTACCTCCAGGTTGTCCTGAACTTGCTGGAGCGTTACCGGTTTGTCCTGGAATACCTCCAGATAAACCCGTGTTCGCAGTATTGGCACCACCACTATTTGGACTGCCGCCACCATTGGCTGGAATGACTGCAATGGGAGGTCCGGATCCTTGCCTGCTTGAACCTGGATTGCCTGGAGAGGCGTTTGAACCAATGCCATTTCCTTGGTTTACTCCATTACTAGAAGAAGAGACACCGTTTCCAATTAAGCCTAAACCCCCTTGACCATTCGCCTGATTTTGTCCTTGACTGCCTGCTGTAATTGCTGCTTGTGATGCAGGATTAACTTTACTCCCTTGTTTATTTGGCGTAACAGTGGTGCTGGCATTTGGTGTGGAATTTGCTTCACCTTGTCCGTTTGACACACTGTTTGCTGGCGCATTATTTGCAACATCTTTAATGTTACTGTCTTGAAGTTGACTTCCATCTTGCCAACCTGTTACATTTTGTTTCTCTCTCTCTATTTTCCAGTAATTTTGTGGAATTGTCGGGGAGGGACTAGCATTTTGGGTTGTAGGAGGATAGTCTTGAGACACTTCTTTGTCTTGCAAAAGAGGTGACCAGTCTGTAACGGAAGTTTAAGATATTAGGGATCATATTTTTTTTTTCTCTTTAAATTTCATATTCATAGGTAGCTATTGTCGGTGAAAGTATAATATCTTAATATTTCGAGATTTTTTTAGTTTTAGTTGTGTTGATTAGAATCAACCACAAGAAATACAGGAAAAACAAAATCAAGTTATAGAGCCACGAAATACGAACTGTATCAAGTATGCAGTCACACTATTCGGTTAAGCCATTAGTATATTTTTATTTGAATGGGCGACTAGAACTATTTATTCCCTTTCCGTGTCAAATGCAGTCTAATATCCCCTAATGGGTGCTTCGTCCTCGAGCGAGAAGCTCATCATGGTCCAAGACAGAAGATATAACTCTATGTCGTACTCTATTTTAATTATTTTCATCCTCTTTTTTGGCGTGACTCTTTAAGTACACACCTTTTTGTAGTTCCATGGGTTTCCACTTACCGTATATAAACCCAGTTCGAATGAATGACTGCAGGGTTTATTTTTTGAATTTTTTATTACGTTACAAACAATAAATAATTAGCTGAAACGTTGTTTCATACAGACAGTTTAAACATCTCGTAACAAGGCACCCTGCAAAACATCCAAAATTGTGTAATTGACATACTGCCATCACGGGACACTGACCAGGAGCACATGCACTGACCTAGGGATGAGTCATAGCCGTTTAGCTCACTGAGTATCGGGCGAAGGCCTGCCAGCAGAGTCTTATCATTGTTACGATCTTTGCCAAGTTCTTTCGCTTCCTCATCAACAAATTCACCAGAAAAACCAACATTTCTTCCTTTCTTGGGTAAACTGAGGGCTTTTGACGAGGGAATCAAGTTGCTGCTGTACTTGGGCTCAGTAACTGCATGAAAAGATTTTAAGGAACTGTGAGCTGATTTCAGTAGACAAGACCAGACAAGACAAGACAATGTTTTATTTGGAGTCTTATACAGTCCTATGTATATCGACTTTATCCAAATAATTTAAAATTATAACGCAAATTGTACACTAGTGGAACTATAATCAATGTTAACCTAAACAACTAATGATCTTCTTTTCTCAGTATATACTGAGGTCTACACCCCCATACCCCTCCCCACCCCGCACCCCTCCGACCCTCATCCCAATATTATGACAAAACGGGTACTCAATCGATCTTTGACACCAACAAGACAAACATTATCTCTAAACATAATGTTTTTTATATACATATATGGTAACCTGTGGGATGTTTGTACCAGAATCGATCGACGATTGACCAATAATATTATAGGGCGGTTCTTGGCGTTTATTAAAGTAGAAGTGCTCGGATTATTTGTCTTTCTATCCTTCGCCATTGAAACCTGTAGAATTGAAGAAATTTTTGTCCGCCACCTCCCCTATCACCTTCCCACGGGTTCTCGTCCTCACTTTTGACTTCTTCATGTGGTAAAACGTTATTTTTTTAAGGGGAGTATTTTATCGCCCCACGTTTTGCAATATATGTCAATCTGTTTAGATTTTTCGGTTTGTTCTTATCCAAATGAGTTATAAATTGACTCAATTTAAATCTGCCACAACCGTGGTCAGATTTATCCAAATCATTTGTCGCTGAATACATTCAATTGTCTCAATCTCTTGACACTTCAGTCGGTTTACACTGAGCAAGGCTAACGCTGGGATTGTTTATTTTTAGAACGTACCTCGTTATAAATTAAATATCTATTACAAAGCTGACACATCAGGTGCAGCTAACTACTTTGTGATATATTGTTTACTTCGCTTTTGTGAGAGATAAGCGTAAATTTTGGCAATGCGCTTCGATTTTTCCAGAAGAAAGTCCTACTTTAAATATATTGCTTACCCTTGTTGATAAATCCAACCACTGTTGAAGACATCGAAGGCAAATATTTAAACAAAGGAACCTTGAAAGCATAAAGTGGTGAATCAGCTATGGCAGACAGCTGTTTCATGTCAGCTTGTTCTCCTGTACCAAGGGCCACTATTCTCGAACCTCCTTCCTTCACTTCTTTCGCCACACTTGTTGCTTTATCAAGTGATTTTCCCGCTAAAACTACGATCAGTGCTTTTGGGGTATCTATTGGAAGTCTTTTGAAAATGTTCGTATTAATCATTTCCATAGATTTCCCAAGTTCGCAATAACCATTCATTGGGACCAGATCGTTTAGCGTAATATCCAACATTTTCGAGCTCTTAATTGACCTGACTAAGACGTTTTCTTGAGAAAAATGTTTTGTTCCGCACTCAAGCAGTCCGAATTTGACCCCTCCTGGTGGTATGTGAATGTTATTATACACCTCTTTAACAAAAAGTTTGTAAAACTGGATTTCCTTAAATCCTATGTCACCTGAACCATCTAGTAGAAAAACAACATTTGCTGGGCCTGCAAGAAAGATAAAGTTCTGTCAGTAAAAAGCTATACTGAATTTATAGCAATCAACTAATAAAATCCACTTTTGAACGAAGCTTGCCCTGCCTTTTTTCCCTCAATCTCACCAACGAACATGCACTGTTAATAGTATCAAAAATGGTCGGTTAATTAAAATTTTAACTGATTTATATACTTAGGGGGCAAAGATCAGCCCATATCAGGACTCTTAGATCCGTGCGGGGTGCCCACGCAAAGGAATGTATAAGAATGTGATAAAATTACGAGAAAAATCTAGTATTACTTGCAGTAAAACAAAGATCTAATTGAAAGAAATTGTCGTCTATAGAGAAATCTAGTTATAAAACAAGCTAATTAGTGACATGGACATTCGCGTGAAATGGACCATGAGCAGTCCATGTCCACCTCAAAAATATCGTTAAAAGATATTTTATTAGTCCCTGTTCTTGATCTTGTTCTTGTTCTTGTTCTTTTATTTTGTTTTTATTGTTTTGCTATGTTTTTTGCTTGTTAATTTGCTTGGTTGTTTCTTTTCTGACTACTTTGATTTACACACATGATCTAATAAAAGAATTAAATTTAATTCAAGATTCCTTGGCTACAGTAAGAGACTCTTAACATTCATGTATGTTTCTTTTAACCTGTAAATATTTTTTCCCCTAAACATATGTGAGACTTGATGAGTCAAACCCATAGTTCATTTGGCCATATCCCCACCGATTTTTTTCCATTTAGAGGATGAAAAGATCCAGAACATGCTCTGCAATACGCATTAAACAGGAAACTAAACTGAGAACATGAACAAAATGAGTAGGTGTCCTTCCTGAAGGATATTCCAGGATGAACACCCATTCACTTGTCACGGCTTGTCTCGTATTTCTAGTTAATTCGTTTGTTAATAGGGTCATTAAAAGATGGGTCTTGTTAAAAGTTACTTCTGAACACGTGTGGAGCAGTGCGTTTCCCATCATTACCACATAAATTTCTTACATCTTAACTTGATCTTAGTACCTTCTCGCTACTTTTTCGCTATCATACCTTGGTATCTTTGAATAATGCCTTCCTTAACAACGCCAGCTTTTTCTAAAATACAAAAATACTAAGTAAGTAGTGTCCTTCTATAATCTGTCTACAGTTCAGCCCGGGGGGGGTACTCCCTAATATGGGCTATATAGGTATGTGCGGCCCCAAAGGGTAGGGTTTTTCAGCCGTTTTGGTCATAAATTGGGTATCGATTTTGGCTATTTTGCCGCCATTTTGGTCATAAATAGGGTAACGATTTTTACACTGTAGTCTTGAATGCACTTTTTTAGAAGAAGCTACTTCCTTATCATGTCCCCCTAACCTAATAAAAGCAGATAAACATTGCCTTTAACATTGGTCTGAACTAGGGAAATAATTATAAGGCAGGTCTGAAAAAGGGTATTGATTTAAGGGTCAGGTCATAAATAGGGTATCAAATTTTTGGTTTGGTCATAAATAGGGTAGGGAAAATCGCAGATTTTGGTCATAAATAGGGTAAGGGTTTTGGGAAGCGGGCCGCACACCCCTACCCAATTTTTCTGCGAGTACCCCCCCCGGGCAGTTCAGCTTGTTGCTAGAGGTTTTTAAATGCCAGATTAAACTATAGATAACAGTCGTAGAAATCTAAAGTTAGTTTCTATTGCCACCATTCAGCGCTTCTCAGAACAAAATAAAAACTTATCTGGCTTACATGATGTATTTTTTCAAACTGTTGTGCAGAACTAAGAATTTAGGAAGTGTCTTGTAAAGTCGAGTTGAATGGAGTGGAGTACAGTAAAATGACTGTCGACATCCAGTAACAATATAAACGTTGCGTTTCTCATGGGACCAGGCTAGAGGGTTATATCCTGCTCTCAAGTGAGGAAATACCTGCACACCACCTCGACCATACAGTGTGGTTAATCGTGAATGAAATAACATTTATTAGAAAAATTGTAAGGGAGTCACCTTTGCATAAATTATGCCTTAAGGTGACAATGAAGCCATTTGGTAATTGGTCGAACCCTTGGAATACGCAATCCCTAGCTGGCTGGATTGACATGGCTTGTAACTGCGATCGATCTACTTCGGTACCGATTCCCACTCCAAAAATTCTGACAGCAGCGTTCCGTAAACGTCGTAATGGTGTGATGATGTTCTTATTAGATGGTGATCCTTCCTATTTGCTTTGGCAAGTTACGTATATTGTCTACCACACAGAATAAGGAGGACGGTTCTGTGAGGTGGTGTAGACCGTTCACGGTCCCCTATTTTTTGCGTAAGACCGTCGAGATCGAAGACTTTGCGTTACGGGCAGCCATCTTAAATGAGTGTCAAATCCACTTAGGGGGCGGGGGACGGTTTCCGAAACCCGCACCCTCGGTCGCATTTGAAAATCAAGATGACTGGCATTAACCCTAAGACGCGCTGAAACTCGACGATCTCACTGAAAAATAGGGGACTGTGAACAGTCTAGAGGTAGTTTAACTCAAATATATAGTAGCTTTGACTTCTTGGAATAAATGATGAAACCTACTTGAGTGTTATAGTTGAACTTTATGCTCGTATGAAATAGTGTTCTACCGCAGCCGTCCATTAGAAAAACGAGGTCACTGATTCAACTACATACTGAATTAAATAGAGAAAGCGACAATACTCAAATTGAAAGTTACAAGATGTTCTGACTGGTGATATTAATAAATAAACCAGTCTTTTTTTTATTATTTCGGCAAATAATTATCGTCGATTTAGCTTAAGTTTATCGCCAAATAGAAAGAAAAATATTTTAAAGAGGTCAAGAGATGACAACAATTAACTTAACGGTAAGAAAACTGTTCCCAGCATAAGTCTCTACCAGCAAAAACTATTTTAGCGCAAGAAGACCAAGGGGCTTTTCCTCCTCTCTTGCGAAGAAAGGACTGGAGGCGGCGCATATTTGAGGAAATACGTTGCCGAAGGAATATTGATAATTACTGATAGCATATGTGTTAATTAAGTTAGATATCAAAGGGAATAAAATTATACAGTCGAACCTCCACCAACTGCCAGCACCTCTCCACAACGGCGACCTCTCTACAACTTCTTATGGCAACTTTACGGCCAACGTACAGTCCATAAATTGACTCTTGGTTAACCCTCTCAATTACGGCCACATATCAAATACCGCAACGGCCACTAAAACGTGTCCCCATCCGCCAAATGACCACTCGACAAAGGTTACTTTTTTCAGCCGACTAATGAAATAGTCAAGAATGGTCGCGAAATTTGATCCGTATGGCACGTTGAAGATTGATCGCGGCAATCGTATTTTGATTGTGTTCCATTTATACTGCTGCTGTACGCACAAATTGTCTACGATACGTATGACGAATGTTGAAAATCTAGCGCGTTTTGTTTTTGATTCAAAACAGTATTCAACTTCTTTTTCATGTTTTCTCTGCCCATGTATGATTGAATTAGTATTATGGGATACAGAAAGCAGGAAATGAGCAGAAAAAACGTATTGTACAGCCTTAAAAAAACAATTGCCATATTACACCCCTAACTCCCCAAAACGGCCACCTCTCCACAAACAGCCAGTTTCTCGCGTCCCCAGTGTGGTCGTTGTCGGGTAGAGGTTCGACTGTAGTCCTAAAGCTCGGAATCCACTTTTATTTTAAAACACGGCAGTTCATGGTCTCATTAGAACTATAATATCATTTCAGTTCCGCTGCTGAAGGAAAACATGAGCAGATTATTACAGTGAAAGTTTGGTGTTCACTGACAGGAGCCCATAACCTGGACAAGTTTATTTTTAGAACGGTTTTGGCGCGAATTTAGAATATCTCTTAAGTCCCACAAACCAGTCAGCAAAGCCTACAGACCTAAAAATGATATTTTTTGCCTTTAATGGCGTCACGTTTTCCTTTTGATATCTTATACTTCGAATGCATTCATAAGACGTGGCGGAGATTCCATTTTCGCGGGAATGCTCTAAAATGTGTCTAAAAACGGGGTGACATAGGCCTAGTATGGGAGTTGCACGCTCCGGGATGGGCTCCTGCATGCAGTAACTGAACATAATTCAACCGAAGACCTCAACTTACGAGATGACTGAACTGAGGCATCTTCTTCCTCTTTGATTCTTGATGCAATCTTCTTGAGAAGGTCCCCGCCTCGTAAATTATTAGTCTTTTTACCTAGTAAATGATTATGGATAATGTGTTCGGCAGCTGCAAATGCTTGTCTGCTCGTCTCTACAATACTTTTTGGAAGGCCATTTTGCGTTAACGAACTTTTCAGTGGACGTAACTTTTCTATCACCCATCGAACTCCCTTAGGAAATGACGATATCCCTGAAAGAAGCGAATAAACTATTACATTTAAACGCAGTATGATTAGCTTTTGATTGCGTCAGAGAAATTAATCAAACCTACTCAGTTCGGGCTTTTATTTAATCCTGCGTGCGGTTGGGGGCTTTTTTCAAAACTGTCAGAGGTTATTTTTTTAGGAAACGTCGCCAGGCTTGAACGGTTTTGAAGTTATTCAACTTTTTTAGCGTCTGGAGCTCCAAGAGCTCTCCCCAATCAGGATAGGGTTAAGCCTGTAATTTCTTTGCAAGGCAAACGGCTAGACTTAGATTTGCTCTGATAACTATGCGCTGTCAATACTATCAAGTCTACGACAATAACTTAAACAACAACAACATAAGAACTCAATTGCAAACATGTTTTATAGATACATTATATTCTGTGAAAAAACTTGAAATCTTGAAAGTGCAAAATAAGAGGAAGAGGCTGACGTTGTCAGATATATGACGCTTGAATGGACGCTTCCAACAGACTCATCTCGCAGCCAATTAGATGGGATCAAGGCTCTTCAGAAATTAAGTATATCCTCTTAACAATAAGAGCAAACACTTTAACTTCAATATTGAGTACTTTGACCACAGTAATGAGCACCATGAAAAATCTGAAAGACCGGTTGTAATATTATAGGGAACGTTTCGCCAATGATTAAAGTTACAACTTACCAGTAGTGCCCTTATGGTCTGTTAAATTACCACCTGAAATTTCAACGAAAATGGCTAATGCCAAGAACAACACATTCACAGACATTTACAGACCTTGCAATAAAATTTGCTCACCAACACCATTTTGAATCATTATTTTTAGCTACAAATGTCTTTTTGAAGCTGTTCTGTTATAGCACAATGTTTTTCGTGCCTCAACGAGATCATTTCGTAAAGTGGGTGATTAACAAGATCTTTTGACCCGTAAATTCGGATATGAATGTAAGACCATGAAGCTCTCATTTCAGGCAGCTGGTGGCCCGCATTTTTATCATGTCATTAATAATAAACCAAGGATGCGTTCGTTTGAGCTTATTTCCGGGATAAGAAAAATATGGAATAAACTTTAGAAGACACTTGCTCAGGCTGACGTTACATAGTAATATTGGCACATCTGGTTGAAAAACAGTATTAAGATACATAAAGCATATATAACAGTGGTCCAAAAAAAAAACACTGTTAGCCGATATATTTGAAAAATAATTCTGTGCATTCTTATTCCGGAAAGCGGTCAATCGAACTGCTTAGACCCCCAGTTAGTCTTAATATGTGTATAAAAAAACTTTGAGCAAAACATTTGTTTATTAGTACATTTTGTTATAGTTTTATAACTATACATATTATAATTTTTATTATGACGATTATTATTGTAAACATCATGACATAGGGAAGTTAGGTTCGAGCTCTGCAATTAACTGCTCAAGTGCCCTTGGCAATAAATGTTATAACGGTGACTGCAAAAACTCAGTAACTACATCTATTCTGTTTTGGCTGGCCAGGTGCACGTAAACTTCTTGAAACAATATCTACGTAAATCGTTCCTCCATAAAGCAGATGATAAAAAGAACTCCTAAGCGGTAGACTTCTTAACACTTCGTCTCGGAGTTTAAATTAAGGTTCATTCCAGCCAGCTCCAACCAAATCCACCTCTCCGTCGGGAATGTTTCTATGGGAAGAAGAAGAAAATAAGGAAGAAAATGAACAAAGCGAAGAAGTTTACAACGCACGCAAAGTAAACTGTGATTTCAACTGGAACAAGAGTTTCATCCTGTCTACTTCTGGTGAACACTCATTACAACTCGAAGAAAGCAGGCCCAATGAATCCAATGAGTTTAAGCTCAACACATAAGTGTGAAATTTGATCTGGTGTAGCACAGGCACAAGTGCTTCGTTCTCGTGCTTGAAAATATACATATTTTTAATCGAAATGAATTGTAAATAAGTTTGAATAGTAAGTTTTGTTAATAATAATAATAATAATAATAATAATAATAGTAGTAATAAAACAAAATTATAATTATTATAATTTATTTCAATCCTTACTCTTTGCACAATCCACATGACAACTTGCATTTCTCGTGAATGTTGCCAAGATTTTGCAAGAGTCCCGGCCAGTCGCAAAGTCCATTGAGCGCATACGAAACACACATCGAGTCCTCATCACTGCAAAGACCTAAACCAAACCAAATATTTTTTTTTTGGAAATGGGCTGGGTTGCACATTCATCAAATACAGGAGCCGTGTTGTCAATATGCAGAAGAAAAGTATAATTGCACCAAGATATAAACCTGAAGAAGATTTAAGGAAAGTGGACTTTGTAATTCAATTGCTTTCAGTGCATTAGTTACTTAAACCCGCCTTTGATAGTAAATGCACATTTTCTGTACATCTAATATTTGGAGGTGATCTCGTGGAAGATCTCTGATTTTGTTTATAAAGGAACAATGGCTCCGTGATGCTTGTTTACACCATGCGCATTTAATTAACAGCGGATGAATCTTCGGGATCCTTTCTTCTGTGCATGACTAAAACTAAAGCTTCTGGGGAAGACCCTATCTGAATTATGCGCAGTAACTAAAAGGACAAAAGACCTTATTCACGATACCCACCATCTTTGTATGCGCTTAGGCTCTGATAGAATAAAAGCGATGTCAAGTGGGTTTTCAAGGGGGAACGTGATAAAATCTGCAAATAGAAGAAATCGCGGTCCGGAGGTTGTTAATTCTAGACAAAACAAAATGAATAACTTTTAATATTACAGACGATAATTGCAAATTATGGAAGTGAGTGATGATTGTTACTTTTTTGACATAGTAGCAAACAAAGACGACTTACAAGAAGAACCTGTCAAAACTTGAAGTAATATATCAAACATGAGACGCAGTGTTTCATCACCAGATGAAACACCGAGAAGAGAGTTGAAAATACGACGCGCAGCGGAGTATTTTTGACGAACTTCGAGGTGTTTCATCTGGTGATGAAACACTGTGTCGAATGTTTGATATTTCTTCTCAAACAAAATCATTTTTGAAGGAGAAATTAAGGATGCAAATACTGAGCAGTTTTTCATCCGATTTCCAAACACTCATTAAACATTAATTTTCTTTGTATTTTCTTTATGAATTATTAATGAGTTTGAGAACTGTACATATTGCACAATTGAAATCGTCATCTCCATTTCAGAGTATAAACAAACTTGTCTGCAATTACTTATATTGACAAATTTTATCTTTTGTTGTTTGCTCTAACGCGCATGCACTTGAGATGACGGAATCGTGAGTAAGGTCTCTTGACAGTTGGACGTACGTTTAGCAAATCAGCCTTCTACAGGAAGTGAGGCTGAATACCATTCTAATGCATAACAGCATGATTTACATTTGAAAAGAATTGAGTTTTCACTCAAAACAAGGTCACCTACGACCTTGCTTTCACTCAAGGCCAGGATACCAAGTACCCATGGTATATTTTTTGCTATCATACCAACATTCAGTGGAACAGAATACACATCTTGATTTGCATTGTTGAGATGAAGTCGTTGCTGACGTTTGTAGGAATGATTTTGATGCTGTTGCTTTGTTTCATGTGAATGTTTAGTTAGAAAATTCTTTCTATACGCCGTGTTCCTGGCTAAAATAAGACCCCAGAGAAGGTTTGCACGAGATGCCTTTTCAATGCCAGGTCGTCTGTGATAATTTGTCTTCCTGCTCGCTGTGGAAAGTAAAGGAAAAGACACATACTGGAAAACTTAAAAGCGTTTTAAGAACTATCAAGTAAAATGTGATAAATGAGGAGGTATGATAAACTTTATCTTCCGATGGAAAATTTGAATTTCCCATCGTAAATTATTTTCAAAACTTTTCATACAAATTAGTTCCAAAAATAATTATAATACTTTTACGTATACAAAACCGAACAACTAACTAGACATTTTCAGTTGGCGTTAAGAATAAAAAACTGACAAATATATTAGGTAACCCTGAGTTCTTATAACAACCACAACCGCAAAAGAAAAATGCTTGGCTTTGGCTTTATGTGGGATAAGTTGTGATTATCTTTGTACAGGCTAACTACTGCTGAAGACTTTTTTGTTGGCTTTTCAAGGTCGTGCTGACTCCGTGATCATTTTAATATTTTTTTCAAATGAGGGCAGTTGCCGATGATAACTTTAACATTAACGCTAAATAGACTTGAGTGAATTAAGTGTCTTGCTTTTGTTCTATTTGTTCGCTTGTATGCTTGTTTTTCAAACTCCGTGCTATTTAATATTTCCCTCAAAAGAGCTTTGCAAAAAACGTCTATTGTATATCATTATTTTGCCATGTTTGGAGCAAGCTGTGCATTCTAGTGTCCCCTGCTGCTTCGCTTAATTTGATTAATTGTTTAAAACAAGCCCGCAATCATTCAATTAGAAAGACCTCATTCAACTCTGCTTACCTGTATGATGCCTCGTATGGACTACATCGAGATAAAACAAGAAGATAAGAAGAAAAATGGGGCTTTTAAAACAGAGAATTTTCATAATGTTATGTCAGTTGAATAAATTAAAGTAGGAGCTTCCACAAAGAACTCATGCATTTATTTAGTTTTGACAATTCAATTAAAAGTGATTGTGGTCATAAATAAATATCGCAGGTCCCTAATGCACGGTTACTGCAATAACCGATAGATATCTAAACGCTCCTATTTTCTCAAAAGCTATAAATCTGTCAGGTAAACCATAATTCCGAAACCCTTTTTGACCAGCGAACAAAGTGCGAAAATCAAGGAGCATCGACACTGGTTTACTTTCAGAGGCCACTGTTAAGGGAAGACAACAGGTTACTGTTGTTCCGACTGAATAACCTGCAATAGGAGACCTGCTGTCTAGTGCTGCTATCCGAGTGGAAACGAGAAAGCGTAGGGAAAGGAATCTGCTCTGGGTGGAGGAAAACGGGAAAATAAAGGGATCGTGTGAAATACGCATCAATACATCACAGACTGACAACGATTGTAGTCTAATCTTTACAATGGTATGGGTCAGAGTTATCTGTCAGCAAAAGAACGAAACCTGCCTTAACTGACTAATTAGCTAGTTGACAAAGCACTACAATCTCTCAGATTCAGATCGGCGGTTAGCAGGAAATCTTTTATAGACCCATTGGGCGCCTAGGTGAGCAGTCCCTATTGTCGGCTGGCTATACAGCAAATAAGTTGAACAACTGACACTTGCCAGACATTAGTCAATCCTTTTTATAATACCCAATTTTCGTTGTTTACGCGGAAAGGCATCACAAGTGCACTTGTTTGCAATTCCAATTAATGCGTCGTTGTCTTAGAAGTCGGGTTATCTTTGAACTGTATAATTTGCAATGAGATAAAACTTGAAAACTTAATAGACGTCTTTATATCGTCAAAAAATATTTTAAAGCATAATTATCATTCAATAGAACAACAAGAGGCCGAATAGTTCAATAATTGGTTTTATGACGCTTTCGAAATATTACCCAGTTCTTAACAACCTTACATCCTCGCATACTTTTTCCAAAACTTTTTACTATTTTTCGACCCAGTTTGAAAATAATTAGGAATAGATGCTTTTTCCCTATCAGATTCTTCTCAAAGAGTAGAGCAATATGTTTGCGTACTCTTGCATTTGTCCGTTCAGTTTTAGTCAGAAGATCGGCCATCTATAACCCCTTCGGATAGCCGTGTACTCTTCCGACCCCTAGCTGTTTGGATGCACGTTTGGTGCTGTTGCATCGCTGCCTGGAAACCATCAAAGTTGCATCTCGAAGCTGTTTAACACATTTATGATCTTAATAAAGCAGTGACCCCATTTATTATAAAAACGAAACTACAATCATTTACCAACTAGGATCCGCCAGTTTGAATTAATTCAATGTTTAAAGCTCATTGATAATAATATATTAAGGTCATCATATGATAAAATTTAACTTTCCCTTTTAAGGCCGTATATTAGAAGCAAAGAAATTCTGAGAGAAATGAACATTGTTGTAAATTAAACTTAAAAAATATAAATTGCTCATTTTCATTGATACAATTAGTAACTAAAAGACTGATCTACATTGACAGTTACAGTAATAAATTCCATTAATTAAGTAAATATTATTTCCATTTTCATTTACAAGTGCAAACATCTTACCGGCTTTTGTTCATTAGGTTATTTGGTAAAATTGTATATATTAAGTTGAGATTTCAGTTTTAAGTTGTTTTCCTTTTCTTATCTTTGATTGACAGATTTGATAGATTTGTTTTTGTCACTTTACAGGATGTAGAACTTAGATAAAATAAACAAGAAATGATGGCGAGGAAGCCTGGGGCTTATATAGGGTCCAGGCTCCCCCAAGATCAATTGAAGCAGACATCACTTTAGAGGAAAGACGCGAATTTACAAAATTAACCACAGTATAAACTAAGATAAGGAAAGAAAGAGAATAATAAAAATTAAATCACTTACAATTAACTCACAAAACAGGAGGACAGGGGAATGAAAACACAATTATGAAATATGTTGATTCAAGGAAATTGAGCGGTATAATTACAATTGATTACAACAATATAAAAATACCTGTTTGTAAAGAATTGATCTCGAATTGCGAAGAGCTTAATTATTTTTTATTCTGAAAGCTAGGTCCTGAATGAGCTGGATGATCTTTATTGTCAATGATACGAACAATGCGTTTTTGCAGAAAAATGAGCAGGTGTAAATTGGCTTTAGGAGTTGAAGGCCAGACTGGGTTGCAATAAACAAATGAATAGTAAAGGGAGAAAAAGGATTTCTTGAGTAGAAAGTATTCAGACTTATAAGTTATAACAATTGTTTTGGCTACTTTAGAGCGAGGCAACATGAAAACAGTGTGCTTTCCATGATAGCTGGTTTAAAAAACCCAATCTATTGTTTCGCCATCAATTTGTTATGATTTTGACAAAGATCAATTCCGTTGTCGCGGCTTAAATAGCATCAGAAACTCATAAGGGGTTGAAACGTGTAACTCGCATTCTATGCTCGTGACTATTCACTTTTACCATATTTGGAAACCCAAATATATAGATTTAGCCAGGGCTAGAGGCGAAGCTTTCGATAAGATTTATAGTTTGCTTAAACAAAATGTAAAATCGCGAAATGCTAAGCGGCGAAGGCAACGAGAACGGTGAAAAAACAACAATATGTCTAATTAGCAAAAAAGCAACTTTGCAGGTGCAGCACTCTTTTTTTGTACATTTCTTTACCGTTACTTGGCACGACTACAACGAGAAACTTCCAGAAACTTCCTGGCTACGCCTTTTATGAAGGAAATGTCGTACGTGTTCTTATTCACTTTTTTTCCACTGTCGCTCATTTTCACCCAGGTGGCCGCTAGCATTTCTTATTTCCTCACCGCCACTACAAAATTTCATGTTGTTCCTCTAACAAAAAATGTCCCCTTTGTTTTTTTCTTCCTCACTGTAGCTCTTTTTCTCGTTGAGCTTCGCTGGCCCGGGGTGGCCATATGCTTTCCCGCCAAAATAACCCGACATTTGGCACCGGCTTACATGAAGTGGGGGTACGGACGGTCGGCGTTCTTACGCTACATCACAACTAAATTTTCTCGGATGGATAGTTTTCTTACCTATGGTGCTCCGCTGGCTGGCTAGTGCGCGCGAGAGCTCCGCTATTAGTGACGGATATCTATTTTCAATAAATGGCTGCCGCGCGATCACCATGCAGATGTTTTAAGACAAGAGTTCTGCCTTTCAAGGTTAAAATACAGCGCTAAAAGACAAAAAATGGAAAGAGAAAGTTCAAAAGAATGCTAAGCTTTCTTTTGCGGAGGAGGGGAAGCTTTTCATCAAGAAATCGTCCTTCGAGGAATTCAACCATGTTTTCTCTAAAGAAAAATTACAAAACGTGCCCCGATTTGAGATGGATTTTGAGTTGAATTTTGCAATGTGGGCGCAGCTGGTTTTACTTGCGTGAACGGATCCACGATCCAGATAGTGTTTTGCGAATTGCTTTAAAGGATTAACTTTTTTTGATTTTCAGGTTTTGGACACTTTTCGATACGCAGCTAATGAATTTTATTCGAAAATATTTTTTACTTTTTATTCTAGACTTTTAATATAAGAATTTTAAAAGCCTATTTGCAGTATAAATTTACTGTGCAAAGGGTCAAGGAGGTATCGTTTTTTGAACTGACAACTTCAAGAAGTCGCGAGGATGTCAATGGTTTTCATCATGTTACGTTTGGTCCCGGTGGTAAGCCAGTAATAACCTGCTCAGTATTTCGGTAAGATTCCTGGTTCAACCTTTGAAAGCTTTCACAGCTTTCGAGAGTTTTTCTCCCGTTTGTCTGCCATTTTTTTAAGCGGGCGCAAGAACGTGAAGTAAAATTACGTCACATTATTTACGAAGTTTGATTGGTGAGTTGTCTTTTCTTCTCTTTCCAAGTATGGTACTTTCAAAAATAAATAATCACGAGCATTGGACAAAGTAAACATATGAGAGTGACACGTTTCAACCCCTTATGAGTTTTTGATAGCATACAATTGGTCTTTTTAATATTCAAAGAGAACTTGTTTGCTTGAAGCCAGGTAACAATTTCAGATAATTCAAAATTTGCCGAGTCAATCAGATGTTCATGGTCTTTGCCTAACAAGAAAATATTAGCATCGTCTGCAAACAATTGTAACTTCATCATACGAGAAACTCTGCAAAGATCAGTTACAAAGAAAAGAAAAAATAAGGGTCCTAATATAGAATATAGTGCCGAACAATATCTGTTGATTTGTGGTTAAAGCAAATAAATAGTTGGATAATTGCCACTTAGGTAAGGTAAGGGAAAGTTGCAGGGGTTTGATCGGCCAACGATTATGCAATATTACATCAGCAATCCGAGTAAGCCGTTCGGTAAGATAGGAATCATTATGTATAAATCCAGATGGTCGTTTCGTTTTGGATTTGAGTTTGTTGATAATTTCACCGAAAACTGTCCATGTTTTCGCTTTGCAGTGCGTAAGATCAGCCATTGCTTTTGTAGTTGTAGGTGCTTATGATACGTGCCGTGGATATCTTTAGTAGTTTTCCTTTAATAACTTTTATACAGTTTGTTCTCCTATGTTGTTTGTTGTGTCTTGTCACTTAATTGATTATGAGTTTTGCTAAACATAGTTCTCAAAATCAGCTTACAATGCAACATTACTGTCGATGTACGGGTCACAAAAAGCAAGGGAAAAAAAAACAGAAAATGTTGCTATGTGAAATGTTGCTTTCACAGCTTAACGGTTTTGAAGTAATCGAACTTAAAAGATGAGTGGAAGCTCGAAAGCCCCCTCCCCGTGGTCTGAACAGGGTTAAGGTAAGTATATGTTCAAAGCCCTCGACCAAGTTGAATCCCTTTCTGATCTACTCTTTTGGCCACTAATACGAACTCCAACACATCATATTAGGTAGCTCTTTCTTGTTTCAAAGAAAACTACTTTTCTTGTAAATCGTCTTAAATGAAATAAATGAAAACTGAATGAAATAAATGAACTCAAAATATAATTTTACACAAACAACAGGAACACAGGTATCAAAAATCTAAATTTTAATATCATTTAAAATTTACCATTTATAAAACTAGAAAAACTTCAATTTTTCAGAAATCGAATTGTTTGGCAATCAGACTATCTGAAGCCTTTTTATATAATTACCGTGTCTCTTTACGATGTTTCAGTTTACTGCACTCACTTTAAGCGGAGTAATAGTCGCTCTACGAGCTTTCACCGAATGGTTATCCTCGCAGAATTATAACATTCAAACGGTTTGACTCATCCTTTACCCAGCTGATATTTAATACTTTTCTTAGGCTCCCCTAATTCAACGGATGTTTCTTCTTCACCTTCATCTGTCTCCTCTACATTTGGCATTTGTGAAATCAGAGTTGGTGAAGTCAAAGTGGCTGGATTGCTAATTTTCTTCTGCCCCGTTTGAGACTCTTTAAACGTTTTCTGGGGCTCTATTGCAGATTGTCCTTCGAGAGCTTTGTTTCGAATGATCTGATCCAAGGCTCTGTTCAGATTTGCGCGGAGGCTAGGAGAAACGTGAGTCTTAAAAAGTTGTTGTCTTCTAAGAAGAGCTGCATTTTCATCGTAACTAGAGTAAATAAGACAAAAAAGATAAGGCTAAGATGGTAGTATTCGCAAAAGTCTTTTACTGAGATTAGTTTTCCTAGTGGCTCAACGCCATAAAAACAACGCGCGAGTATTCCGTTAGCTGCTCCTTTAGGATTCCTAGGTCTGGAATAATACAGGCTGGTCACTTAAATCCGCAGTGTGGAGATATAGTCTTAAGTAAAAGTCTGGAACTCTAATAAGAGGTCGTATTTACTTTGGGCGTTCCATTGTACGGTCTGTACATTGAACAAAGATGGCATTCTGTACTCCATAGATAGTGCTTTTAAAGTTACATAATCTCAGTAATACCAATAGTACGGTACGCAAAGCCCTCTGTTCAAAGTTTTCTCCTAGGGGAGCAAGGGTGGCGCAGTGATGACAGCACTCAGGGAACCAAATTTAGGATGTGGGTTGAGTTTGTTGGTGGTTTTCTCCTTTGCTTGTAAAAACGTTAGCTGTAATTGAAACCGTCAGCTTTAACAATTTAATAAACCTACCCATTACAAAAACCACAGGAGAAAGGACACATTTTCCTTAATTGTTGTATAGAGTGTAAGGGTGATGGGTGATTGCACATTCCTCTCTTTGCATAATCCCTGCACTCTGGTATCATATCACGGCACTGATCTGTTGGTAGATGGATTGTTTAAAAATTTATAATAATATTGATAATAATAATAATTTATAACTTTACTATAATAGCGCCATTTAACATTTTATATCATCAAAAGCTCTTTACAGTCATACTAATTGAATCCATGATAGATAAAACCGACAGAAGGTAAATATGCTGATAAAAATACATTAATAAAACGAGGTTGACTTATCTTGCAAAATTATCACTGCTTATTGCTCCAAGAGGACACGAAAAAATGGCTTGAAAGAGTTGAAAAAAGAATACATTGTCTCAGGAAGGTTTTGACCTTACTTGAGAGGGCACTTCGGCACGTTAAGGTTTTGAAGTTTGTGTGGCAACTAAGTGCGACCAGTTAAGATCAGTCAAGTGAAAAAGGAACCGTTCACACAAGTTAGTCTTAAGTGCAATTGAAATGTCCAGTGTGAACCCATCTAATGTAGGGGCGGCAGCGGAAAACGATCTAGCGCCTAAAGATGCCGACATACGCTCCTTAGGATGTTCTAAAACAAGTGCTGCGATATTAATGAATATGAAGAACAGGCCCTAATGCTAAATAAATCGGTGATGTAGCTCGGTGACATGCCCTGAATGACCTTAAAAGTAATAATTAAAATATCAAAATAGCTACGATTAAATTCTGGCAAACAATGAAGATTAGAGAGAACTGACGAGATACCGTCGTACGTCCTAGTGTTCGAAATAAGTCTCGGTGTTCTGGACACCTTGTAACTTGCAAAATCTGATATCTGGGCAGCTCATAAAGTAAACTGTTACAGTAATCTGGTCTTCAGGTCACAAAAGCATAAAATAATGTCTCCAGGCATTCCTTTGACCAAATTCGACGGATGTTATCAATATGATAGAAACCGGCTTTACCTACTTGGTTAATACGATTGTTCATATGAATTTATGAATCGGTATCGGTTATAAAATCCAAATTTCCTATTAATATCTTTATTATTTTCTAAAATACAAGGCAAGAAATTCACGTGCAAAGGGTGTATTGATCTTTTACAGGTAAAAATTTTACACAAATAGAAATAGAAATAGAAATAGAGAGATTTCCTTTTTTTACAAAACAAGGTAACGAAAACACGAAAGCATTTTGTCAAAAGTTTTGATTTTAATTAAGCAACAGTCTACAAGAGAGCATTTGTGAATTTTTATATTATAAACATGATAAAGCTTTGTTTCTGGGTTTCTTAGTTAAACCCGCATCAGTAAAGTAATTCAAATATTTACTCGAAGCACCTATCAAACATCTTGTAAATATACTCTCAAGGCTAGAAGGAGGTTGCCTCTTCCTAAAAACCAGAAGGCGTGCTCACAGGTTTTTTTTTTTTTAAACTGCTAAAGTAAACTCACACTTGACATTGCTAAAGTAGACTCACAAGCCACATCAACATGTGCGATGAGTCGGTACAGGTTACGCCGATTGCCAAGAAAGTTAAGCAAACCCAATTACTTTCATACAGAAAACCCCACGGCAAAAATTTTAACTTTGCTTTCCATCACTATGCGAGGCGCATTCAAAAATACAACCGGTCACCGTTTCCTATTTGTAGCATTTTACTCACCTATGAATATAGGAGGTCCTCTAAGGGGGTGGTCCACGATAATTGGTCCGTGTGGTAAAACTGGTGTAGCTGGTAGAATTGGCCGTAATCGCTGTCGCTGTGGAAAACACGGTGGATGGCACGGTCCTGTGACCTGCGGAGGAGCTATGTAAGGTCCTTGGATGGGCCCTGTAATGGGAGGCGCTGAAATTCGGCATGGAGGGTAACAGGGCCTCCGGATTCTTGGACGTCGTAGGCAATGCGGACGGCACGGGCAAGGTGGTTTTGGACAAGGTAAGCATATTGGAAGACATACCATAGGACAAGGCGAAGGAGGTTCTTTAGGTGGAGGTGGGGGAGGTGGGGGCGGTGGGGGTGAAGAGCAACAACAGCAAACACACGCTAAAAATTAAATTAAATGAAAGATATATTAAATTTATAAAATATATTTAATGTGAAAGTATACATCTAGGATAAGAAAGCTTTGAAAAGCCAAATTTCGAAATGCTTAGCCTGTCCAAAATTGATGAGGTTTCGACTGATTACAACGCATGCAATGAAATGAACTTCCATGCGCGACCACCTCCAATAAGCGACCACCCACCCTATAGTTCAAGCTTCCCGAAAACAACTACCTCTCATGATTTTTCAACCTCTCTTGTAGGCGACCGCTTGACACATGGTTTAATCTCTGTGTTTGCTGTTTGTACGCTACGCAGAGTTTACGGAAAAATTTAAGTGACGGGATGGAACCAAGCATAAAAAGTGAACTGAATTGTCTGAACTAAACTATTTCAACCCTAACCGAATCTTGTAAGCGATAAACACCCCACAACTAATTCTTCTTGCAGGAATAACAATGTTAATTTAATATAAGGTGATTGCATTGTAAAAGAACCCTTCATAGGTTTTCAGTCAGACTTGCTGCATGTATATAACGAATCAAAAAGACGATGAAAACGTAGGGTCAGCGTGGTCGTTTCCAAAGTGCAATGCTGACGAATAAAGCTAGTTAGGAGCTCTTTTAAGGTGGCTCGACTGGATTTTTGAGGGAGTATACTTCCCCACTTTGAGCCTTTACCACGTCGGCAATAACAAATATACCGGAAAAAGGTTACCACAGCTGCACTATATAAAGATGAAAACTTGTTATGATCCATGTTTTATTGACATCAGAGTTACCGTGGCAACAAAATGGCGCCATTACGTTTTCTTGCCTTTGCATTTCTCGTTTCTATAAGGTTTTTTTTTGTTTGTTTTGCTTTGTTTTTTTTTTTTTTCAGAAATCGCTTTAGGGAGCTTGTACTTACCTTGGTTGCCTCGGTTGGTGGCAAAGTTTGAACAAATTCTATAAGAGCGTTTTGGAAATATTTTGAAACAAGGTTTCAAGGGTCATAAAAACAGTGAATAAACATGCTATCGACGTAATTAGCGAACATCTAAAGAAAACGATAAGGTCTGAAAATGCCGTTTCATCTCATAGTGGTTTGATTCCATCTGAAAATTGTACGAAAAAAGAGAGAGATTGCTTTGGCCGATTGCGAGAAAGAGGAATTTCATTGGCTTACGTTCGGTTGCTTTCTTTACCATTTTTGTATGTAATTTGGTCCATGCCTAAAAATTTCACCGTTTTTTAAAAAAACCGCTCGATAGTTTTTTTTTATTACGTCAATTTATATCTCCGCCAGTTTTTAAGGATATTGAAAACAAGGAAGGTAATTAAATGGGGCTTCTAATGTCAAAAAGTATTCCCCAGATTTTGCGTTTACAAGTGAGCGTACCTCATAATTCATTGGCATTGTTTTCAATTTCATATGCACGTGCTCAACTTTAATTTGCATTCAAACGGACCCTGGATTCCTTTCCAGTCATATTGAGGGGTCTCCGTGCAAATGAAAATAATGTGAATGACAGCATATATTGAAAATATACAAATAAACTATTGCATAGCGATTTATTTCTGCGTCCCTCCTGGTGAAAAAGTGGCGCTACAGACATTATCTTCACCATTTCTGCTGCATTAGCATATTTCGGAAATTTCTTCGGAAAGTAATCCAGGGTCCTTTTGAATGCAAATTAAAGTTGAGCACGTGCATATGAAATTGAAAACAATGCCAGTGAATAATTAGGACGCTCACTTTGTTTCAAAATATTTCCAAAACGCTCTCATAGAGTTTGTTCAAACTTTGCCATAACCGAGGCAACTAAGGGAGGTACAAGCTCCCTTAAGCGATTTCTGAAAAAACCATTAGAACCAAGAAAAACAAGTGCAAGTAAAAAACTCAGTGGCGTCATTATGTTGCCATGGTATCTCTGATGTCAATAAAACATGGATCATAACAATTTTTCATATTTAAGCAGAGTAACTGTGGTAACCTTTTTGCGTTATCTTTGTTAATGCCGACGTGGTAAACGCTCAAAGTGATGAGGTTACTCCCTAACAAATCCAGTCGAGCCACCTTATATAGCCGCTCAGAGCTCAACAATTCGCTCGTTTTTTTAACTCGATTCTGCGTCTCCAAAGCATACTTAATTTGGATATGTGTTGCTCGAGACGTTATTGGTCAATCCATACAATTAAGCTGAATCGCCCAAAACAAGTGACCCTAGATCTTGATATTTTTTTCTCCTGGAAGTTTAAGACTGTTCTCATTGAAATCATGAAAAATCATGAAATTAAAAAAATCGAGGGGGAATCTTTGTACACGTTGTTGTGATAGAGTGGTAAAACTGCAAGACGCGCGAATCGCTAGCGTTCCTTCCTATTTTTTTACCGAGGACTGGGGGGAAGTTTAAAAAAGGCACTTACGTGAAAGGTGAGAGACGGCATTGAAAATACGATTTGTCCGAAATTCCATTTAAGTATCTCCGTTTAGGATGGAATTTGATAAAGATTAATACAGCAGTACACATAATTTGTAGAAATGTACTTACGTGTGTGACACACTGCAATGGCCGTTATGAAATAGAAGAGAAAGAGAAAACATTAAGTGAATAAAAAATAACATTCACTGGAAAAAAAAAAAAGGAATTTCACAAATTTCAAATTTTTGAAAAAATTTCCGATTTTTGCATACCAAAAAATACAGGGTTGCAAATATGGAGCCAAATGTGGCATTTAATGTATTTGCCTCAGAGTTACTCCTCAGTTTTCACATTTTTGCGACATATTTGCCGACTGCAACTTTTACAAATCCACTTTTCGTCCCGGTGATTATAACAACAACTGATATATAACGGCCCGGGCTAATTATACAATGAGAGCTTTATTTTCCGCTTTGTTACTGGTATGTGGCCTTCATAGCTTTTAGGGACTCGTCACCTCATATATGAATGTGTGTATTGATTCTATCAATTTTTTAAAGGTAGTTAAAGAGAGCATATGCTAGTGTTTAGTGTCATCTACCCACGGCGAATCCCAGGACAATCGCCTCAAAAACATATTGTTCATTGTTTTAGGTTTGCGGCAAAATAATAATTTGAAGTTTTCCTCATTTAGCTAACCTTTAAAGAAAATTATCGACTTTTACAAAGAAAAGAAGTGGTGAAATAATTAACATACCTGGACAGCCCGGGCGACAAATGGACATGGGATCTATATTGGCTGTGACCATAACAAAATAAAAAGCAGTTAGAAAAGGCTGCGGGGGCTGTTAATCAATTGATAGACCCCTTCACGGTTGTTTTCAACTTTTTACTGGAATCATCACTTGAAAATACGTCAAAAAGAAAGTCTTAGTTTTACCAAGTTTGAAAGTGATACATTTAATTTGAAAACTAGCTAAGGGCTATTTACCAAGAAAGAGGGGGTGTGTGATGACTGTGTAAGGATCTAATGTATTTCGATGTTCAAGTGGTGCCCTTTTATTCAATGAACATAATTATTATCACGGTAACTAACATCGTCCAATGGCTTCTGATCAGAACCACCTGACAATAAATCGTGGGTCTATTGGTCCATGCTTTACCGAGCTGTACACCTAAAATTACCGAGTATAAAACTGGCCCTGATACGATCGTTTTGCGCACGGCATTTTCGTAACCTTAATGACGGCAAACATAAAGCAACAAGTTGAATGTCAAGTTTTATTTTTTCAAGAAAATTGCCTGAATAAAAGATGGTTTTCCACTCAGCAATTTTTCGTGTGACATGCAAAGCAACAAGGCAAATATATATATAGCGATACAATTTGCACCAATAGTTGCTGTTTAATTCAATTAAATTCTTTATTTTACAATGTATGAGGCATTAACACACGTTACGTACTAAAGGAAAAAGAAGAATGATTGTTAGTAATCATTAGGCTAAGAGAAGATAAAGTACATATGTGTGCAGTGTCAAAGTATCTTGAGCATTCTAGTTGGACACCGCCACAGTCCGATAAATGGTAACAAAAAGAAGAGAAAACAACTCAAATAACATCAGTGGTGGAGCATGTATAGTAGAAGTAAGAACAAGTTTCATTGATTACAAGTTACTATTTTCATTCTTTCTTAAACTTATTAGACAGTAGAAATACAAGTGGCAGGTTGTGAACCAAAACATTTAAAAGACGTTTTACCTACATTGGCGAATAATCTTGGACTACATTAGGGTTCGTCTTTTAAACGATCATACTCACTTTCAGGACAACAACAACACCCGCCAGGAGAACAATCATTTTGTTGAAGAGGTGGTCCACTACTGCCATCATTCAACTTCTTGTAACTAAGGCTCAGCATATAGTGACCTGTCTGATTTTGCGCCTCAGCTGATTTGTCTGGATATATTCTTATAATTGTCTCTTGGTTTTTATTGGAGATTTGGGGAAGAAGTAATTTAGCAACTTTCATTGGCATGTTTATACGGTAAGTACTTCGTCTTGACGCTTGGGCACTCCCCTGGTAGGACGTACCATGTTTTTGACGCCATGTCTTATGCATTGGTGTTTTCTCTGAAGAATAAAAGTATTGTCGTGACATAGTTTTAAGTGTCAATTAAATTAACACCACATACATCTTTCTAAGTCTGCTTCGTCTTTAACAGTTTCATAGGATAATATCTTTTCTACATCTTGCATTAATGAAACCACTTGCAACAGAAGCTACATAAATATTTTTGTCAATGACAACCTTTGATTTTTGGGAGTGCAGGACGTAAAATCTGAATTCGCATCTCACTAACACCGAGATAGAAAAACACATAAGTCGATTAACTTAGCACTTTTCTCTCATTAAATATTCAACATGACTTCGTTTAAAACAATTATCACCACTGGATAGAGCAATATAAATGTGACTAAATCACACAAATAAAAGTTAATTACCTGATTTCAGTTTCAGAGCAGCAGAGTCTTGTATCCATAATAAGAGCAGGCAAAGATAAAGAACTTTTGTTAGACACATTACAGCATCAGCATATAGTGAATCTGTCGATGAAGTGCGGCATCAAAAACGCTTTTCCGTAATTCCATTCCTTAGAGGTACATCTTTCAACTCTGTTCTTCTTGTTGTCAGAGGCTCATCCACCACAAAAAATATAATTTTTTTTTCTCACCGTATATTATATACAATATAATTTTGAATACCTGTGATTGTTTTGCTAAGAAAAGGCGGCCACCTTGACGGAACAAATGAATTAAAAATTAGGTTGAAAGGTCGCTTAAGTCTAAAGCTTGCTGCAGGTCCTTTCTTTCGGAAAAGCTTCAAATTTATCGCTTGCTTGATTTAAAATCCAAATCCAATCAACAATAAAAGGAATTACCTAATTGATCTTCCCGCAAACCTTCGTTCAGTGATTCACAGCGACTATCTGTTCTACACACGACGCAACGCAAACCACATACACTCATGTAGTAGTTTATTCCATTGAGAATCGCCAAGGGTCTATAAATGAGACATTGGAGCTGTAAACGCTGTAAAAGAAGGACAGTCGGCGTACAGACAGAGAACTAATGATAAGTGAGTACAGATAAAACTGTAGTGTTTAGAAAATGTGCCTCTTTCAAACAAAACTATCCATCAATTAGAATGTTCACGTTTCTGTCGTCACTTGAACAGTGTGAAATCATTTGTGACGGTAAACCGCTAAACAAGTCCTTTAATCCTAACTTTTGCCCACCTTTTGAGGGTTAGTTATTTTGAAAGACAATAGCAGCTTTATAAATAAAGCACTCGTGGGTATTTTGTTGGCCGAAGCTTTTCCAACGAGGCACAAAGTACCAAGTGACTAAAAAGACAATTTTTCTTATTTTCACTACACAAAGCAACGCTAAGATAACTTGGTAGCCCACGAGCGCTCTCTTCAGCGGTCGTTGCTTTTCAAAATAAAAGCGCTCCAAACTCGGTGAACGAAGGATACAATCGAAAGGATTGCCTAGCGGTGAACCGTCACAAATTTGAATTCACAAATGCAAGAATAACGAAAAGGAGAAGGAACGGTTTAAACAGGCAATCAAAGAGGTAAGGAATTGTCCTTTGCCTACGCGTGTATCTCTCCGCAAAGCAAGAGAAGCTTACCTTATAAATAGAAGCACAGCTCTTTCTCCAGATGGTTTAAACCACAAGGACGAACGTTGAAATGCACATTATCAATCACTTTTTAGTTTATCATTAAACCCTTATGTAAATTTAAACTCAAATCTTAGAAGCCGTTACAGTATTTTCTTTCAGTCTAGTTCTAGCCCTGTGGAAGGCTAGTTTTGTTAGCCGAAATGTTGGCCTCAAATAAATCAAACCTTTGCCGTATTGCCAGCCATGCATTCAGTTTTTTTTTAATACCCACTTCAAGTGACGTCTGGTATTAGCATCTCTACTTAGAGATCCGACAAGAAAGAACCAGTCGGTTTTATTTACACGTTGAGTCACCTCTGCATTCAAGGGTTTTTACTTCAAGCATGTGTGTCTACAAAAATTTAATGCACACTCCCGAATAGGGAATTTTAAAAATCAAAGTATGTTTCTAGTTCTATATAGTTCTAGTTTCTGCCACTGTTTGGTTTACGTTGTTGACGTGTTATTTTAGGGACAACAGTTTTCTTTATCCATATCCCTTCTGATAAGTAGTCTTTATCCCTGCAATGAAAAGAAAGATGCAGGCAGTAATGTAAATAAACTGAATCGAAATAATCAAAGGTGCGGAATGTTCTAGCCTGCCGAGCGCCACACACGAAACTAAACCGTATTTAAGTCCGGAATCATTTTTGAGGACGCGGTGGTCAACTATTGGACAAATTTCTCCCGCCCCTATAAACAGTCCCAGAAGTCTTTGCGATAGTAAACTCTGCCATGTTTAATTCTTACTTCTAAAGTAACAAATGCTTAGGAAATCGTCTCTCGCTATGCTACCGTTCCCAACGACTCTATAATAAAAATGATGGGGAGCTCGAAAAACCTTTATTTAAAGGCACACAAATTGTACTTGTGCTGGTTATGCTCATTGTGGTGAAATCTGAAATACTTGCCGTCAGAGTTATTGTGGCATCTGTTAGAGGGCTTTTATTTTGTTTCGCCCCAAAATGACCGGAATCAGTTTAACACCTAACTTATCTTTCACACAGTATTGGCACCCAATAACGGTGAAAATGAATTTCACCTCCTCAGTGTTCAAAACTCAAAAATGGTGGCGAGGGCATGCGCAGGCCGGGGAGAACTTCATTTCAGGATTGCGATAAATTAGAAGCTACTTTCGTTAAATCAGTGCACATCAGAGAACCATCAAACTTACGTTTTACAGAGACCGCAGCTTTTTTTGCACATTTTCATCAAATAATCATGACTGTAGCCAATTGCCGGACCATCACAATACCCATTGATTCCAATATATCCAGAACACGCAGGATCATAATCTACACAGGCAGCTGAGAATGAATATTAAACAACAATAAAACATCTGTATGCCCCGTAGTATTAAAAGTAAGATTTTTTATACAAAAAACCATCAGGGTGGAGGGGATGAAGCCACGCTCCACACTCTGATACTGACAGAGTACCAAAAATGATGAACTGATCGAGATCACGGGGATAAATTACGTTGTTTTCACATTGATTGTGAAAAGGCTTCAAATGAAAACGTAAGACAAAAAGTGCAAAAAAGACATAATAGGGCACAACTAGGAGTTTCCATCTGAAAGTAAGTGCTGGCGTCAGCGCTGGAAGACAATACGGAGAATACAGTTTGAAAATGAATAAAGTGAGGATGTATAAAATGGAAAAGCCTTTGTAGTAAATTTCCAGCCCACAAATTTCTAAGCTTCTCGCTTGGCTCATAAAGCGCCTGTTATGCAGGCTAATTTCCAGAGTTCAAGCAGATGATCTGGGCGATAAACGAGGCCTAAGTTTTCAGTAATTGTTTGTTTATATTTTTGAGATTTCTTTATTTTCGTCATATGGAAACAATTTCATCGAGATCAAAAACAGTTAAATGATGAATCCCGAGGAAGATATGCTATTTTTATGTGTTAGCTGCTCTACTATGTCTAAAATGTTTGCCGATTCGCGAATTGAGGTGCGGAGATATCGACGCATGGATATTAACGGGTTTAATGGGGTGCTCGAAAAGCTCTCTTTTGACTTAAAGGTTTAAAAACAATTGGAGCCGACGACAGCTTGCGTAGCAGGCGCTTACCAAATGATTTTACAGTTGAATGGTTAGCCAAGGGTTAGTTTCAACGAGTGATACACATTTTGGTCAAATTGTCAGCTGAATTGTTTACCTCAACGGGCAGAGATTTTAACACAACGATCAATGGGCGAAGAATAATTTGATTAATTGCATGGTGGAACCGTAGTTGCTTTAGACGCAAAGCTGGCTTATCTTTTCTGCCAAGACCAGAGTTTTTTGCTTATGGCACATCACTTCTGTTGAATGAACTATCTCCATGGTGGAAGATTTGATCGAGATCTTAGCATTGTCATTTATTCGCGAATCAAAAAGAGCTGCCGAACACATAATAAATCTCTCGCCTTCCTCGAGATTCATCACTAACACGCTCTGGTTCGAGACCTTGATGAATACTTCCTCAAGCAAATAAAGACATCTAGAAAATAGAAAAAATGGAAGCAATTACCAATCACTCACCTCGTTTGTAATCTACTTGCACTCCAAATCTCTCGACCTCGTTCACGTTCGTTTTAGGTGATGCCATCGCACAGGAGTGAATACCCGGAAATAAGAAAACTAATCTACTCGCGCATGGTTCTGATCTTCCGTCCAACAAATTTTGGCTTTTCCCCGCTATATTTGTAGAGAATAGTGTGCTGGCTCCCATGAGGTTCACCCGAAATAAGGACGTTTTAAATTATGTATATTAAAAAAACAAACAAACAAGTTATATTCCTGTTTGCACATTTCAAATGTGCAAACAGGAATATAGTTTTTTCGAAGAGTTTTTTGGGTGGAGTCCGCCCAAAAAACTCTTCGAAAGCATTTAGTTTTGTAACTAAATGAAGCTCTTTACTCACGGCTGTACAAGTAGGAATCATCGTGTACTGTATATGGATCCGGAGCCACGGGATCGCGCTGTATAGGAATATCGTAGGTCCAAATATTGGAAGCAGGAGGTAGTGCTTGAAGAGGATGGACAGGAACGAGTGCCGGCACAAGAGGAAACATAGACTGTACAGGGGAACCATGCCAAAGAACGTTTGGTTGAAATGGTCCTGTTGATTATGATAATAACAATAATAACAGTAGTAGTAATAATAATAATAATAATAATAATAATAATATTAAAGTTAAAGAATGAAATTGACAGGCAAGATATGTTTCACCCGATGAGTCGCCTGTGCAGAGAAAGGGAGAAAACTGTTAGCCATATATAACTGCAAAATGCAAGAAATTAGCTCAAAAACAGTATAAAACCTGGAGACACGAGAAGGTTTCTCAAGTTTTCCACTGAAGTCTTTGCAATGAATTTAATCTGTAGCGCAACGAAACCAGGTATGACCATTCTCCAGGGGCAGTGATGGAAAATGACCAAGTGCGCAGCTAGCTAAGAAGGACCCTAGAGACACAATGCTATAAGATAGAGCTTGATGCTTTGGGGAACAAGGCCACAAGTAGGTGTGAAGAGGCTAAGATCATAGACATCGCTGTCCCTGGAGATGCACGAGTAAAAAACTAGGACGTGGAGGAAATAGAGGAGTTCCAATTTCCTCCAGAAGAAATGGGAGAGTTGTGGAAGCTGGAGAAAGTGAAGGTTGTCCCAATTGTGGATGGAGCATTGGGAGCTGTTCCCGAAATGTTTGAGAAATATGCGGGAAAGCTTAAAATTACCTTCAGACTTGAAGTGATCCAGAAAGCGGTTCTGTTGGGAAAAGCTGGAATATTACGGAAATTTTTGGCTATTTAGGGACTCAAATGTAAGGACTCCTTTGGGACCTTTAGGAACTTTTTGTTGCTTGCTCCCAAGGGTAATTTACTAGGCAATCTAAACATTTTAAGCCAGAGAATCCACAATATAAAAAAATATATAATAATAATAATATATAATAATAATAATAATAATAATAATAATAATAACGATGATGATGATGATGATGATGATGATGATGATAATGATGATGATGAAAAGACGATGATAATGATATATTAATGACAATATCGTATGCTTATACCACATTGTATTCGCATTTTTTTTTTTTCATACAAACCACAGCTCCCCGTTTAAAATTTTTACTAGTCTTGCAAGGCTTGAAAATGCGCATTTTATACATCTCACCTGTCGAAGGCTGGGTAACATTTTTTACCAGAACACCTAGATTTAAAAATTAAGAATAATTAGAACAATAACATGATTTATTGACTGTTCGACAGGAATAAGGTTTTTACTAGTTTGCATTGCTAAGGAAGCAAAGGAACATTTATATACCTCACCTGTCGAAGGCTGGGTAACATTTTCAACTGGAACACCTATATGTAAAAATTAAAAATAATTAGAACGATAACATGATCGACTACTTGACAGGAACAATTTATTAGTTAATTAGATGAATTTTTAGTGATGGTTACAGTCTGATAGCATATAACTAACAAAGAACAAAAATTCATAGGGTCTAGATGCATTTTGACATGGTACATTTATGTCTGACATAAGGCATATATCTTGCCCTTCCTGTGACTTGAAAGTGCTGACGAACCTTTTTTCAGTCGATCTGCCAGTTCCCTGCCTGGAGAAGAGGGTGGCTTGAATGTTTGTATTAAGACTGAGTTATCACACAAGGGTGGACTACCAATGTTGCAAAGTTCGGCTTTCTTGACTTCAGGACAGGCACCCGCAGCTATTATTTTTACCCTTTCCTCCCTCAGATCTTTAACAGGCTGGATGACGTCATCAAGTGATTCACTGCACATTATATGTAAAAGAACACGTGACGCAGCACCTGTTCTTCCAGTTTTATCATAGATGTCAGTTTTGACCGTTTTAAGAGCTTTACCAGCCAAGTTATGACCAGTCGGTTTTTTCACTGAGTCTAACGCCTCCTTAATTTTACTGCTGTTGTAGATGTCATTCAAATTTACAACTATCTTTGTTTCTGCAGCGTAAACTGCTACTGCCACGTGTGTCCTGTTTATTGATACTGGAAACCGAGTTAAAATGTCTTTCACAATATCAAACATTGTGCTGAAAAGAGAGTCATTCACTGCATCAGAGCCCTCAACCAAGAATACTAAATCAATAGCAGCCATTCTGGAGTGGTTTCCGCCTTGTATGCTGCTGCCCACTGGTGAGACGCTTGACGAAGGTTTGCTAGTATTTTGTGGTTGAACCTGGGATGGTTGCAGTCCTGCGGGCGAAAACAAAAATGAACTTAACTTCAGCTTTAAACTATTACATAGTGATCGCTGCTAGACATAACTGACTAGCTTAGCAATGTGAATACAATTCGAACGCACTATGCAATTCTCTTAACACTCTAGTTACCACAGAATTTCTAGCATCTGAGAGAATTGCTGATATAAGAAAATACAGAATTCAAACTACAAACTGCAACCTAGTCTGCTACAAAGTCGTTCTTTGGGAGGAGCATGGCGTGACAATACGAAAAACGGCAGTGAAGCAGACTAACTGCAACCTCGCGAAAAATCCAGTTATATTAAGCGGATTGCAATTTGATTTATCAGGATACTAACCGCTGGTGTTGTTATTGTTACATCCTTTCGTTGACGGAGAACAAACCAGCTCTTTGCTGATTTGGATGACTATCGTTTGCATAAAAACAAAAACAAAAACAAAACAAAACAGCATTTACATGTAAATAAATACATAACTGACTGAATAATTAATAAAAAGAAGTGCTAGACAACTAGACTAGTTGCATAATTTTAAGGCCTTTAGGTTTATCATTTCTGTGTTTGGCAATGTTAAGATATTGCAAAGGAAAGGTTCGATTAGAGGAATTACTTGTAATGGGGGACTGGGTACTGGTGTTAAAAAAAAAACCGTTTATCTACAAAAGTAATTACACATTCAAATGTTGCCAAGCATAGTTTTGTAGTTTTCTATATTGTAAGTTGTGTTGTAGCAATTAAATTGAATAACTTTGAATTTAAACTGCTCAGTGCCATTTTTGCTTAAAGAGTGTTTGGGACTTCGTGGCCATAAGAGTTCACGTGACCTAATTTGCATAATGTTGTTGTATAAATAGTATAACTTTCTGAGAAATCGCGTGTTACACACAATTTACAGCTTTACTGTAAATAGTTACGAAATAGACAACCCCCTCAGTTTTCAACGAAAATAGCTCTTGACCCATGCCTTAATTTACTTGAGTACCTGCTGTTGAACAACTGCTTTCGAAGAGCAATGTTCCATAGGTAAGCAATGTTCCATAGGTAAGTTAAATGTCATCAACTATTGTTATGTTCCTAGACCTTCACTCAACTAGACAGGGACTGCCATTGGTTGATTCTTGGTCACGTGGCCTTGACTAAAATCAAATGTATCCCGATCGTGATACATTAAGCAATGTACCCCGCTCGGAATACATTACAGCACGTGATCAAAGTATGGTGGAAAGTGGCGTGACGGAAGGCGGGAAAAACACTGCCAGTTTTCTTTTTCGTGAATAAACACAACAACACAACCACCAAGCCTCAAGCTAAAAACGATTTTCAAAGTTATCACAGAAAAGAATTAAACAACACCTAGTGCAGGAAAAAGATGCAGATAATATGAGGAAAGTACTTTTAAATAAAATTTTTTTGACATACCGCTTGTTAACTTTTCTAATAGAGCTTTCCTAGTAGACCCAGGGATGGGGAATCCGGGAGTTGATATAAAAAATTCAGACGCAGGATCTGTAACAACCATTTTAATTACATCAGACTTCCTTGTTGGCTGCGTATTACTAAGATCAACTGTGTATACTAGCACGCCCGCCTCGTGAAGATTCTGAGAAGGCTTTGAAATATCATCAATCGACTTCCCAGCTAAAAGAACCACTAATATTTGCAAAAATCCTCTAACACCGGTTGCTTCAAAAATTGAGCGTGCGGTTTCCAGCCCCTTTCCAAACATGCAATCGGCGGTAGGCTGGTTAATATATGCTGACATTACGGCGCTTGGGTCTGATGGAGCACTTGTTAACGGTTGAAGAATTTGGGCACCATTGGCGACTGAGATAATGGCAACACGATTTTTGTCAGGAGCCAATGCCAGAGACTTATGTAGGTCACTAACGAAATCCAGCTGTTGTTGAAAGCTATCTTTGGCAGTTGTTTGGCAATCGCTTACAATGAAGGCTATATCCAACTTTGAATCTGTAGGAATATAATAATGCATCCTTGCATCTGTCAAATCGCACTCTCTGAGAATACAGGGGCCCGCAAAAAGACAATACGGAATGAATGATATCGATTCAGTGGTATATTCATATCACAGAGTGTTCTTACCTCCTAGCTGAGCGCAGCGGGGAGAACGAGATTTTTCTATAGAGACAACTAAGAAAACGTACAAAAATTATTAAAGCCAACCTTGAGATAATAACTTAGTGAGTTCTAAAGTTTGGCCCGGTCTGCTGAGCTGGGTTGTGTTGCCATGTGATCAAAAATTTGATTATTTTTGCATCTAACTAACGTATCGGGCTCTCGGCAAAGGGGCAAACCCGGACAGCAAGACTCATGTAATCAGAATTTAAATTTCTTTACGAGTTAACTCGATAAGAAAGGAGCGCCTTGGAATTAATACCATCCTAAAAAGTTTTTTAATATCTGGGAGTGTCGAAGCAGTCAAATTAAAAACCGAGTATAATCATAGGAAGTAAAATTTAAAACGCCTGAATATCATAAGACACTTCCGAAAACAAACAAACTAACAAAAAAAGCATGATATATAAGCGTGAGTGAAAATGGCCAGCAAAAGGTGAACTAGCTAATGATATGGGCATATGTAAGTATGCACTCGTACTTACTGGTTAGACATTGTACCTATGAAAAAAAAAGTTGCAAATGAACATATATATAGTGATACCCACCTTTCTTGATTTTATCTGCCATTTTCTGAGCGACCATGTTAGCCTCCGGAAATGTTTCACTGATAAGCGAGTACTCCGAACGAGGCTCACCGGAAGCGACATTCAAAGTTTGCGGACTAAAGGTGGTGGTGAGACCCAAAGCAAACATCAAGGTGCAATCTTTTTTTAGTTCATTTACTGCTCTTTCAATCTCATCACTAGGCGTCCCGGTCATTATAGTAAGAACCACACGAGGAACGGTCTGGCGCGAATTTGGGTCGAAGATTTGGGTTTTAATGTCGCGGAAGGCGTTTCCTGCCATGCTTGGACCAGAAAGGTAAGCTACGTTATTAACGTTAATATCCATCTCCTGAGGATCGTCATGTGTGTTTAAGTTGAAGACAATTTGTGTTTCTACTCCAAAGAATGCCACTGCTACATGGACACCATTCTGTGAAACTCGGAAATTATGATAAGTTGATCGTACTATTTCTTTTATCCGTTCAAAGTCTTCAGGTTTTGTATTTTTGCTTCTCTCCACAAGTACTACGAGATCAATAGCAGCTGAAAGAAAAGTAATTCATTGTCGATCTGCTTCGACTTATTACTGGTATTGCTATAACGCGTATCGCCATATTGAGTGAACGATGTCCCGTGTACACAGCTGAGTTTTACAATAACCACGCTTCAAAGGTGAAGTAATTTTTGAAGATTGTTAATTATATTTTACCATATTAAAAGAGGTGGCGGTAAATATTCATGGTGGGTATGCAGCCAACTCAGAGGCTAGACTTTTGGCGGGAAACGCCTTCATTAAAGATGTCATTTGACCTCGATTAGAAGATCAGAACTCGTGCTGTTAAATTTCCAGGTAGCAAAATATTTATGTTATGTTTTCTGGAAAAAGCGAGTGAAAAACTTTATGTTCTGAATCAAACCATCTATATATCAAACATTTTTCTTACCCCCTCTAGGTTGCTTATTCAACTGCTGCTGAACAGGAACTCGCCCTCCATCTACTGACAAAATAAAATAACTTACTATATAAATATGATGTAGCAAAAGTAAATTAAAAGGCTCTGTAATTATCAAAATACATGCAAATTGGAAAGAAAGAGAAATCAAGTATCAGAAAGCGCAGGAATAAATGTCTGAACTTTGCGGTCGCAGTAAAATTGATAGATTCGTTTTGCTAAAAGCAAACTAATGAAAAGTAAACTGTAAAACATTTTATTCTAATGTATGAGCTTTAGTTTTCAGTTGTTCAGCATAACTGATGAACCCAAAGAACCCAATCATCCTTGTCTACATATTGGAACATTATAATAATCATGAAAAGAATATTCTTGAGTAGACGTTTCCTTTCATTTGATAACGTACCTTGTTGAACCTTAGCAATCTGCAATTTGTCTACAAGGTCCCGAGCTCCTCTTGGCAGGTCGATAATGTTATCCATCACTACATGATTTTCTGTGGGTGTTGAAGCTATCTCAGCGAGCTCACTCACGTTAATTTTTTTTCCAACGCCAAGACAAAAGATTTCTACCCCACTGTCTCTAAGTCGCCTAACAGGATCAGAGAGGCTATCATTTGATTCGCCGTGTACCAATATCACCAGGATCTGTCTGACCGCCTTCCTTGAACTGCTACTATATAACATTTCTTTGACAAGTGTGAGGCTTTGACCAATGTTTGAATTTTGTGAAGTCCCCGGAAATTCGACGCTGCTAATAGACATGTCAAGGCTCTGCTTATCAAAGTATTTATCAAAACTGAAAATGATTTCAGGACTACCGGAAATAATACCGAGCGCCACATGGACGTCTTCTTGTGAAATGGGAAAAGTGCTGTAGATGTACTTCACAGTATCCAGGCTTTGCTTAAAGTCTGACTCCAATGCATTCCTTGAACCATCTACCAGGAAGCCAAGGTCTACCTGGACAGCTGAAGGTAAAATTAAACACCTTATCGTAATCAGCTTTCAATTTTTTTTAACTTCTTGATCTTTAGAGACCTGTCACCGTGTTTGTTCCGTTAGCTTGTTTTTCCTTGCTCGTTCTTTTATCATGTTAATTCATTTGTTCCTGTCCAGTTTGTGTTTGTCTGTAGTATTTAGAATCGATATGTAGTTTTCATCACTAAAATTTAGGAACCCAAAACTTATTCATCCATAATTCAGGCTAATCAGACTTTTTAGAAACGACTACGTGACTCGCCAGCTGCGATGGGCGCCAAAATACGCAAACTTTAGGATCGCCTTCTCTTCAAAGTATTTCTCAGCAAATTTTCATGTGCGTATGTGACGATTTATTGACATTTGCCCATTCCGTATCAGTATAATTGAACGAATAGAGAATAAGCTGTACTCTGTTTTTCACCTTACCCCGAGGAAGGCGAAGTTAACATTACGTACCTTTTTTTATCCTTGAAGCCAAATTTTCTCCTGCAGTTTCTCGGTACGATACACTTCCCACCATCACGTGATCCTTCACAGGGGAAGAAGCTACGATATTGAGCTGATTTCTGTTCACGTTAGCTTCTACTCCAACGCAAAAGATCGTTATATTAAGTCTCTTTAGCTCTGCTGATGGTTTTACCAAGTCATCTATAGATGTTCCCGCGGTCACTACAACAAGTACTTTGGGAGTCTCTGAACGTGTTTTTCGTTTAAAAAGCTCATTTTGTACAGCTGACAAGCCCTTTCCTAACGCGCTTTGCCCAGGAGACACTACTATCCGATCAATTGCAGTGTCAAGAGATTGTCTGGTGGTATATTGGTCTAGCGAAACTGCTATTCGTGGACGAGTGCTGTATGTCACTACTCCGACTCTGGTTTTGTCTTCGCCAATTTCAAAAGAAGAATAAATTGACTTAACAGAGTTCAATATATTCTGGAACTGATCATGTCTCAGATTTTTTAAACTGACATCTAGGAGAAATCCAAGATCCATTTTGAGACCTTAAGAAATGTAAAAATATATAATAAGATATAATAAAATATTTCTTTGATGATAATGACTGGTCGCATTAATATGGTTGCAATAAAATACAATATGGCTGGAAAATGTTTTGAATAAATGTTTCCCGTATTCTTGATACTTATAATTCCACTTAAGTATATAATTACAACTTCAAATGATATTTCAGTCCCATGCGTTCCTTCAGTGAGTAGAGCATTTTGGCAGATTCCTAAGACAGCCTAATTCTGCAATGACTGAACAGTTTCAATCAGTGCAAAGCATCGGGATTTTTTTTAATAATAAAACGTAAGAGACTATCTAAAGGAACATAAAACAAAACCCTTACCTGCCGGTCCGAAAGGAACCACAGACTCAGCAAGAACTAAAACAAGAAAAGGCACTACTATTACCCGCGAAACAGCACCAACAGCAGAACCAAAAAAACAAAATAACAAAACAAAAACAAAGCCAGCCAAAACAAAACATGACACGTTTGCCACTTTGATCGACGGAAATTAAAGAAGAAAAAAATGGAGCAATCACGCCTTCTAAGGTAGAATTCACAATTCTAAAAATCTTAAATACTTTAACAATGATAAGTTAGAAAATATTACTCGTGTAATGGACATGTGTGTTGTAACAGGCATTGATCTGAAATATTTAGTCAACCAAAGAAAATAAGTTCATCTTTTTTGTCTTAGATCCAAGCATCAGTAAGAAAGCAAATTCGGAAAAACAAGGAGAAAAGGAACAGCAAGCAGATTTTTAAGGTTGCCACCTAAGAGAAACGGCGGTAGTTCGCGAGCTAAGACAAGTGCGAGGCGAGCTTGAGTGAGGAGCGCGAGACCCTCACGACGTGGGAAGGCCCTTTCCTTCCGTTGCAAGTGTCTAGCGTTCTACGCCCTCTTCGTGCTTCGTTCGCCAGAAAAACGGGAAAAAATAACGCCAGCCTACAGGCTAATTTCCCCCGTCTCGCCACCTATTTCTGTCATAATTAATCAACTATAAGAAGCTAAATGAGCCTGTTGGTCACACCTACCTTTCCTTATATTCTGCACCATTGGACTGAGTAGCTTATCTAAATTCTCTACTGTGGATTGTGTTAAGTGCTCCTCTTCTGGTAAAGTTACAATGTCTCGTAGTTGATTCACATCCACGTTGTTACCTATTCCAACAGCGAAAATATTCACACCTTTATCTCTTAACACACGTGAAGGCATTTTGGTATCATCGTCTGATTTCCCCGCCGCAAGGACCATTAATACTTGGCGCCCTCCTGGTCGGGCACTAATGTCAAACACGTTTTCCTTAGTAGCTATCAGGCCTTTACCCAAAGCGTTCTCCTCAAAACTTGGACTGGTTGTAGAAAGAACCTTTGTGTTAACACTTTGTGCGCCTTTGTTATCCGTGAGGTTCAAGACAACAGGCGAGGCTTTTCCAGATAACACTAGACCAATATGAGTTGCATCTTCTCCAATTGGAAAGTTACTGTATATTTTCTTGATAAATATTTTTACAGCTTGAAATCCATTATTCGGCATGCTAGCTGGTCCATCCAGTAAGAAAACAAGGTCAAGCTTCTCATCTGTAGATCAAGATTAAGCCACACATAAACCGAGAGTACAGTTCTTTAACTCTATATTGCTAACGGGAATAAGTGTCGCCACCAAAAATAAAATTTTTGTCACCACTTCCAAAACTCAATTTTTGCGCCAAGGTGTAGTGTACCTGGTATAGAAGATTTGATGAAGCCAGGCAAAATGAGGTAACTTTTTCCTAAACCTTTTAACTTAGCTCATTGCGTTAGCTTTTACCAATGCAACTCTTAATGAACTTCTGTAGTAATTACCTTCTTTAGGCACTAGAGGTGGCACGTGCGGCTGCCATTTGGGTGGTCTTTCAATAGTTGGTCGACTAGTCATGATTCCATTGACAGGCATCTTACCGCCACCACCAAACACAGGTCTAGATGGCGAGACAAGAGAAGACGCAGGAGTTGAATTGGTGGGCGTAGTGGTTGGAGAAGGACGAACCTGGCCTGATTGAGGAGAGATAACAGCCGGTGGTATCCTTATCGGTGGTCCAAGTCCTGGTTTTCTGGACGACTGTCCTGGCTGACTAACATTTCGCTGAAATCTCCCCGATGAAAATATTGGCTCTTTTGGAGGGATGTAGGATGTTCGCGCTGATTTGATAAAAAAAATTAAAAAAACGTGATATTTATATCCTTCACCTTCATCCCTTTTAAATAGCCAGACAGTGTCATTAGTTTTTTTTAAATTAGATATTTCCTAGTACTTTTTTTGTACCGGAGAAAGCTCCCGTAAACGGCCATTTTACCCCTACACCTCTACTGGCTGCAAAATACGAGAACTATTCTTGTAAGCAGCCAACTCCAGATACGGACACCTTTTTCTCGTCGCCAGGATGTCCGTTTACGAGTGCTTCCACTGTAATAGCCTAATTCCTAAGTTTCGTGGCCTCCCTCTCCCATTCGATGTCGAATTTCACGTTCTAGACCATAAACAATAGGGAGCTTAAGCAGCGACGTTTTTGAGCGACGCACGTCAACCGGAAGTGAGGTATTTTCCCTCTTAACATGCCTTGATGATATAAAATTTGTATTCCTTAGCTTCTTTACTGTTATAGAGGCGATTTGACTGAAAATTTGCGCGAAACCACCGTCAAAATTTGAAAAAAGGCCACTTCCGGTTGACGTGCGTCGCTCAAAAACGTTGCTGCTTAAGCTCCCTGATACAGTGGAACCCCCTTAATACGGTCTCCAATGGGCCAAAAACATTTGGCCGTAATAACGAGGTGACCGTATTAACCATGTTTCTTTACAAGAAAATGTATGATCGTTTTTGCCGGGCGGCCAAAAAAATGTGGCCGTAATAACTAGGTGACCGTATTACCGAGGTGGCCGTAAGGCGGGGTTCCGCTATATTAACGTATTTTATGCCTAAGTGATCCTACCTTCCTCGATTTTATCGATAAGAGTTTGAGTGAGCGATGGAAGGTTGGAATAACTGGGTACTGTCAAAATATTATTCGAACTTGGCTCAGAAGCTATTCCATCGAGCTGTGCTTCGTCATATTGATTTCCTACGCCAACGCAGAACACATTAACATTATTGGCCTTGAGCATCTCAGCTCCAGTGAAAATATCATCTGTTGAAGTACTTCCAGTGATAAGAACTAGAATTCGCTTGTAGGAATCATGGTGTTTGATACCAAAGAGATGAGTCTTAGCTGAAATTAGAGCTTCCCCAATTGAGGCAGTTTTTCCTCCTGGGAATGAGGCACTATCGATGGCCTTATTTGTTTCAGTTTTATCATCATATTTATTATCAAAATCAAAAATTAATCTCGCTGTCTCGCCGAAGACCACGAGTCCAAGGTGAATACTGCTAAACTGAGTCCAGAATGCTCTATATATGCTTTTCATATAGTCCAAAGCCAAACGATAGTTCTCCGCTCCTACTGTGTCTGTTCCGTCTATCAAAAAGCCAAGGTCTATCTTAGACTCTGAAACAGCAATATATGAATAATTCTGAGAATTTAATTTTGAAAAGGTTAAATTATGCTTGACCTATAAACACTGCGTTAAAACTGATTAATTGGCCTGTGAAGACTATTTAACTGGCGAACTCTTACCAACAATTCCTCCTTGTGACAGCAGGCTCTGCGATGGCGTCGGTGTTGGCTTTCCAGCAGATTCATCAAGAACTTAAATCAAAAGAAATGTTTTAGAACATTCAAGACCGACATATTTTCCAAAACTGGATTTTCAGTCTATTTTTTGTCACCAAGAAATAGTTAACTAACTGATCAAAGGACTTAGTATAAACACAACCCAAGAGACTACAATGACAAGGGATATGGGCTCCTGTTTTAACATATCATGATTTTAGTGCGTACACCTCATTATCAACCATTTGGGAGTGACATTTTACAATTTAGTTTTGAGCATTTGAGAAAGATCATCAAAAATTGTTTCAATTCTCCTCCTCCCCCTCCTCCTCTTCATCATCACCATCGGCATCGACATCGTCACCATCATCATCATCATCATCATCATCATCATCATCGTCATCAACATCATCAGAAACAAATGTAGTATCAACTTTTTAAAATATGTAGAAACTCACCAGCTAAGATTCGAGGTACAAGAACAAGAACCACATTCATCAAACTGTTAAATTCCGAGGTAACGACGTAAGTATCCGAAGGCGAGTTTGCAATCACTTCTAGCTGAGATTCATCATATCTCCCACCAACGCCAACGCAAAATAACCTTACTCCACCGGCTCTTAACTCTTGTGCAGCAGGTTCTACTTCATCTTTGGAATCACTTCCAGTGATAACAATTAACACATGCGCAACGTTCTGTCGACCACTGTGAGGAAACAGTTTTGTCATTGCTGTGTAAAGCGCATTTCCTGTCTGCGATTCTCCCCCGGGATATGTTATTGAGTCAATACTAGCTTCAATGTTAAGTTGTTTTATGTCCGTGTCAAAATTAAAATGAACTTGCGAATCCTCCCCATATGTTACCAGTCCTGCATGTATTCCGTCAGTGGTGACTGGGAATATCCTTAAAATCTCTTTAACAAATTCCAAGCATTTCCTAAAATTCCCAGTGCCTTGTTCATCTATTACTTTTGATCCGTCCACAATAAAGCCTAGATCAAACGCTAGGCCACCACCTGGAACTTCAAAATGAAACGCAACATCAGTGAAAATGGCCATTAACGTCTAATTCAATGTCAGCTGCATCAAGGCCATTTTGTCATTTCATTTCATTTGGCCTGGCTTATGGTGGCTTTCTAGTTTTTAATCATTAAAATGACCAAGGTACTAGTAATCTGAACTGTCGCACAGCAAAATCGAGGCGTTGTGGTAACACCAAAGAAGTGTAAATTTTTGCAGCTGTGTGAACACCAAATAGGTGTTTAGTTAACACAACTGTCGTGTATATTTACACCAAAATGGTGTAAATATGACCTACATACGATCCTGAATGCGTATAAAAACACCTTTGCAGTGTTACAGCAACACTGAATTGGTGTATATTTTCTCTATATTGGTGTTTAGTAACACCAAAATTGGGTTAATGTAACCCAATTTTGGTGTTAAAATACACCAAAAATATGTCTCCTTTACACTGTTCTGGTGTTTTTGTTACACTAAAAAAGGGTAATGATGACACTGAATATGTGTAAAACCCATTGCAGCTGTGTGCACACCAAAGTCAGGTAAATTTACACTACTGGGAATTTTACACTGTATTAGTGTAGATCAACACTTCCAATTGTGTTATAACACACCGTTTGAGTGCTGAGCCAACACTATTTGTAACTCAATGGAGAAGTCTTACAAGTAGACAAAGTAACAACTACGACAACCTGTAAATTTACTCCCATTTAATTGCTTTTTACCCCGATAGTAATAAAAACTTTGTTCTCTTCAGAATTGAGTAAAACAGCATAAATTAAAACAAGTGTTAAAAACTAAGAGGGCTGTACACCGCGGGTCTTCTTTTTCTAAGACTTTTTAGGGAGCTTAATATACGACGACGGCGGCGACGAAAATGTTACGAAAAAAGCAATAGATTTAGATTAGCAAAACAACTGTACATCTTTGCACGTGCATCGCGCATTTTTGCTTACTTCCTAACCGTTGTTGCACGACTACGACATTTAACTACCTAATTTCACCAGTTTTGGGGAGGATGAGAACACACTGCATGAGAGAACGATTTTGTCATGCAACCTTTTTTTAAAAATTCAAATATTAATATAGTCCTATACAGAACTACAGAAGCCGGAGAGACGAAATTTGAAACAACGTGGATCTACTTTTTAAGAGACGTTTTTGCCACCGTCGTTGTCGTCGTTCGGCTTAGCTATTGATGTGAAAGGAAGATTACACAAGAAGTCGTGCAGATTTAATTTTAGTTTGCTTTAATTACGAGCTTATTTTTTAGAACTGATTCAGTTCATTCATGAGCTGTAATACCTTAGTCGGTATAGTTTAACACTGTTCATTCAAAACTTCTCTCTGGGACAAATGAATATGAGAGTCTGTATTCTTCCGGATATTCTATATACACACAACATATATTAGAGTGAGCAAGGCGCTGGTATGTCCTCCATTAACCTTTAGAGGGAGATTCCTTTCCCCACTCAGGTATATATCATCTGGGGCTTGCAGTTGCCCCTCAAAGATGATGAAGTGCGTCATTCCCTCCTTGCTGTTCTCGGCAACTTTATTTGCATCAACACCATTCTATAAAGAGGAAAAAAGACGCAAAAGAACACTTTCAATAAATGTGTTTTCTCAACTGCAGCATAATAAAAGTCAATAAATATTGAAATGGAAAGTTTTGTATGTTCATCCAGTTCTTCAGATGGCCCGAACCTATTTATATGCACGTTGGGTATGTTTTTGAATCGTGTTTTTCATTTTTGGCATCCTTAATAAAGAATAGTGCAAATTTAAGAAAATGTTGTCTATTTTTGTGTAGGTTTAACACTGTTTGAGATATCAGCTTATGTTTAAAACCGAATTTTTACAAAAACTGTCAAAAACATCATAGAAATCGGTTGAATGGTTCCTGCCGAAAAACGAATTAGGATTGTAGTACAAGCATGAAAGGTTTAGCCTGATTAAATGAGGAAATAATGTTTGCCTCATGCTCAACTTAATTCTGTTTGCGAGACTCCTTCACTGAATTGTTTCACTGCAACAGGCTTTCTCGATAAAAGGCAAGTCCAGTGTAACTTTTCCAAACTTTCCTTCCCAAAGGGTTATTAAGTTTTTGGAATCACTGTCCATATTCACATGTACTTTCTGTTCCCGTGGAATCTCTAGGAATGAGTTTGTTACTACCACAGCACTATCTGAAGAATTGATTGACTTTGTTTTATTTTTCATCTGCAAATGAAGCAATCTTTCTTTTTCACATTCTGTTTGACGCCACAGTTGGTGAAACTTCTCTTGATTTTTTTTTTGACAGAAGACAGTTTTTCTTCGGTTGTCTGTCTTTTCTTTTTTTTCTTGAACTAGCTCTTCATGAGCGTTTTTCTTTATTTGTTTTATTTTAAGCCTTCTTCGTTTATTTCGAGCCCGTCTCTGACGCCTTCTTTGCCTCATCAGATCTTTTCCAACTAAAAAAAAAATGCCGCGAATAATAAAAATTTGTTCAAAGGGGGTGGAAGCATTAATGTGAGTGTATTTCCTTTTTCTTAGTCTTTCTTCCGTCCTTTCTTTATTTTTTGTTTTTCTAACCTTCTTAAGTTTTTCTGATAATTTTAGATAACTATAATTATTACCAGCTATCAATTCATCATGTTCCAAGTAATGAGCGGGCCGGCCTCTCAACTTTGGAGCTAGTTAAAAGCGGAAAATCCAACTTTACATAGCTATGGAAACCCACAACATGATGAATTGAAAGATAAAGGTAACTTTTTTGGAAATATATATAACTGAGAACCTTACAGACATATTTTAATAATACTTTTTGCAGCCTCGATTATTGTATCACTGAACAGAACTTTACAGTTTTTGGTCTCAGGCACTTTTATCGAACAAGACAGTATTGAAGTTTCATTGGTAAAATGAATAGGATGGCTGAAAATAATATTTTTCATTACAGGTATCTCTTGTGAATGATTGAAAATGTTTATACGTTCTTTTACATTGCATATGGACAGCACACATTGGCAAATTGTGTAGGTGTAACATGAAATAGGTAATGATGTGTTTAGAATTTGCTTACTAATCCAAAACCTCGTTCCCAGGATTCTCTCCTAACCGCTCCGTATAGGTTCACTAATGCATTGTAACTGAGTCTTCTTTCTTCCACTGAACCTAATTCCCCACCCACCCTACCTAAGAAATATGTCAGTATTAACTTGTCTATGTTGCAAGCTTCTCATTGCTAGTAAATTCCCTATATATAATATTGTCTCTTTTGTTATAGTTTGGATTTTCCATAATTGACCGGATTGCAGGAAAAAAAGCTTACAATATAGGACCACATGGACAAAATTTGCAAATCCCTCCCCTTCTACTCCCCTAGCCGTTTTCACATAAAATGAAATGATGTTTGTAACAGTCACTGGCCCTTTGGAAGTGTAAATAGGTTCTCACCTCTTTTTATCAACTGTTGGGGCGCTAGATGCCTCGCCAACTGTTTCAGCATTAACGGCTTCTTGTACAGGTCGCGCTTCGGTAGACACTTCGTGAATTATCCGAACTTCAGTGCTTTTATCAAGTCAAGTTTTCGTACCTTGTGAAGAAGATTAGCGAGAACGCCAGCAGGGGGCACGAGGGTCTTCAGGGTCTCCTCATTCATGCACAACCGAACCTGTTCAGCTTTGGAAGTTAAAAAGTAAAGAGTTAAGAGAGGAAAATTAAAGTTTCTAAAGCTAAACTTTCAGGCCTTAATTAATATAATGCGAAGTAAAAACGTCAACGTGTTCCGTTATTTCGCGCCAAAAGTGCATTTTCAGTTGGGAACTTTGTTAGATGGGGAATCAAAAGAAAGATGTATCAGAACACCGTTTTACGAATTGTAGGTTCGTGAGGGCTTTTTTTCTTTTAAAAGCAGAACATATTATTTAGTTAGGACAGGCTATTACCTTACCATAAAAATTATCGGCAAATGCCTGAATACCCCTCCTTCTTCATCCACTCTTGAACATCTTCGCAAATAAAGATAAGTGAAGCCAGGTTTTACCCTTAAAACAGACAGACTAAATAATTTAACTCTTCCATGCAGAAACTACAGACGGTGAAATGGACAGCTACTGCTTCGCTGTGCGTGAATATATGAACAGCACGCAACGTTGAACAAGACACAAAACCTTTCCGCTTTTCTCTGATTGGACAAAACATTACTTGATAAGTACCGTCTTGAAAGGAATGTTCACAATGCAATCAAAGGGATTAATGAAACCGTGAGAACGTTTTAGGACTGAGTTGTGATTGGTCGTTTCCGCACACAAAACATTCTTATGTTGTTTCGCTTGCCGACGTTGATAGACGCGTTTCAATAAAACTTACAAGATCACTTTCGTGAGCCTCACGCAGCATACAAATATAAAAATGACTGGTGTTAAGCAAATGCGATGTTTTCGTGATGTTTCGAAGGTTAACTTGCTTATAAGACAAATGCCGTCTTTTTAGAATATTTTAATTTTGCACAATTATCTTTGTTTTCACCTTTCCGGCGTCTAAACACTGAAAGCACGTGCTTTCAAGCGGAAAGCACGTGGGGCCCTGGTAGTAGATGCTCGTGTCACGGTGTGTCTGTGTGTATGTCTTTTTTTTTTTTTTTTTTTAAGGGTTCTCTGCCTGTAATAAAGTACGTGAGGATAATTGTCGTTATTAGATCAGTCAATTTTCGAAGAAGAGGAAATTACATCATCCTTAATAAAGGATTCACATAACTTTTAGCACCAAGAAGTATAACTACAGGGGCACCCAACGACAATTTTCGGAAGAATATCTGTTCGGAAGACGATTTTAGATCTAGAATTTTCGGAACATTTGTTGTAAAATTTCTTGCTTGCCTGCCTCTCCTATGATTTTCGAACATCAAAAAAATGGTATAATTGCCTATTTTTAACGGATTTTTACCCTAAAAAGGTCACCTAGAATTTTCGGGAGCCTTTTTTCTGGCTGAAATTTTCGAAAAGGTAAGTTTTGATCCCTATAATTTTCGGATCACTAGGCTTTCAGCT